TAAAAACAGTTTACATTTTAAAGAGTTCCTCCTCGTCCTCTTCTAATGTTTTCACATCCTGCTCAGGAAGGGACACGATGGGCTCAAAGTGGGGATCATGATTAGAGTCCTCTGCCGTCTCTGCAGTGGGTTCGTGCTCTTCCTGGTCCTAAAAGGAAGAAGACAAATTAATGATTTAACTCAAAGCAAAACAACATCAATTTATCAGTGTCAAAAATTCAGACTGAGTTTAAGTAATAAGGCATGTGGTATACGTCACTCTATTCTATCACTGGAACAAAGTGACTTCTCACAATTGACCAACCGGCCATGAATGCATCAATGGAGGGATTTAAGAGCTCATTGGTTAAGTATAGCTTTTGTATGGGAACTGCCAAAGCCTTTAGTAATCACTACAGCTGAGCCAAGCATCTTTAATTCTATTTGGGGTTGCATGTTCCCATGTCGGTGTTCGCAAGTTTAAATGTACATGTCTAATATGGCAAGAAAATACATTACTCATACAAAAAAAATAAAAATACTGAGGATAAAGATCCTTAAAAAAGTTTGCAAGTTCATGACCTCTGACAAAGTGAGAAAAGACCTTATGCAAATCTGTGTGTGCAGTGTCATTTTGCGAATATGAAACTGAAAAACGCGGGAGGCTTTCCTGTCTTCAGAGTGACAACCTTAACTTTACTTCTACCCCATTATATTCACAAGCTTTAATATTACTGGTTAGCAGTATAGCAAGTTAGCTATATAGCAAGTTAACTATATCCCGCTTAATTTGTTGCAACTTAGGGGCTGTTTGTTTCTAATTCTTGGGGAGAGGTGGTGCAAAAAGGGGGAGGCAGGTCAATAATTTTTTGAGCACTGGGGAGGCACTGATGGTTTTTATTTTAGCTTAGGGGAGGGGCAATGAGGGTTGTACTCTGTATTTAGTTTACCACTAATTTTTAAAGAAAACATCCCTTAAAAGCAAGTTTTCTTCAAAATTTGCTTATGTTACACCATTTCTCACAGCTAGAAAATGTAAAAACAAATGTTAAATTTTCAAATTTCGGACAGTCCTTGGACACATCATGTGGAACAAATCCCTTTGTCAGGAGAAAACAAAACAAAAAGAAATCTGTGCTTAAAGTAGTGTAGGGCTGGGCGATAAAATGATAATGATATCTATCGCAATAGACACATGATCGATATCAACAGAAAATACGTTCGATAAAACGTCTGACAAAACAGGAAGAAAATCCCGGTCCTGAACCGCAAGGCATTCTGGGGGACGCAGTTCCAGCAAGGGCTTCAGCCTCTCCCGGCGCTCCCGGCCCAGCTAAGCAAGTTTGGTTGCATGAACAAACTCACTCACTCCCTGTTGGTAACGTACGTAACGTTCCAATAACCTGTTGAGACACACACACTAGCAGTTTCATGTTTGGGTGCGCCTTCGTGCCTCATGTCTACAACTCATAACAAAATGGTGAAAGGAGAAAATGAGTGCGACAGAGCGTGAGGAAATTGTCGATAAAGGAGGAAAGGTCAGTTCGCCGGTTTGGCAGTACTTCGGATTTTATAAATCAGACAAAAGTCAGACCAATGTTGTTTGCAAACTGTGCAAGGTCGCCGTCCCTACCAAGACTGGGAATACAACAAACCTATTTTATCACCTCAGCCGCTCTCACCCGTTGGAGTACAGCAGTATCAAACCACCATCAACCGCTGGTACAAATGAAACACCACAGAAGCGGCAGCAGACTACCATGTACCTGTATGGCCTTAAAGCCTGAGAAGGTGAAACAGTTTTCCTTGCCAAAATCTGGAGTGAAACCATGTTTGAGTTGTTTTTGAGTTATTTTTATATTTTTATGCTGGTTCTGACTGTTTGTTACAGGTCAAATATGTTAATATCTGTTAATTTCTTTTTTTACAAAGTACTTTGCACATTTTTTTAAAGAAGTTTAAGCATTTATTTAATGTTTACATTTGCACATTAACAGTACATTCATTTATTTGACTGTTTTTCATGGTTATGTTGACCTCTTTTTCCTCTGTGTTCGTTTGTTCATTACTGAAGAAAGGTTACATTTAAACTAGAAGTGTTTAAATTTAACATTTTTTTTCTCCTGGTCCTTATTTCAAATAGGTTTTTAAAAATTCAATAATTATCGTTATCGACTGATATGAAACACTTATATCATGATACATTTTTCAGCCATATCGCCCAGCCCTAAAGTAGTGTGATTTCAGCAAAATCACTTTATTCTATATCTCATTTAAAATTTGGCCCAAAATAAACCGTTAGCACTAACTAACCAAGATGCACAAGAAGAGCGAAAACCAGGTTTTTTTTCAACCCCAGAATTTTGTGTTCAACTTTTAACTTTTAAATACCAAAGGATAGGTTTTAAAACTCTATTAAGTAATTTATGGCGGAGAGGGTCCTCAAATCACTCAGGGAGGCTCAAGGACAAATATTAGTAGCTTTCAGGAGGATCAAATTTTAAAAAAGTCACACCCCAGCTACCCCCCTCCTCTGATAAGTGAAGAACAGTCCCTTAGCTAAGGGAGTTAAGCTACAACTGCTACTAACGGTAAATTCAATGCGCTTACGGTTGGATAAATGTAGTAAATGTAACCGGCTTGAATGATTAGGTGGGTAAACTATGAGCTTGGTTTTTCGTCGCAGTTGAATTTTACTTCTTTAGTGTTAAGAAACAGTTGTTCGACTTTGTTTTTCTAAGACAACTCATTGTGAAGTTGCCTAGCTAGGCGACGAGGCCTTTCACTGGCAGGCTAGTGGAGAGCTAACCGTTAACCGTAAGCCTTCACGGACCACGGTGTTTGTCGTTGACTGAAGCCACTGTTAATTTGACAGGGATTTAGGTGACATGATTTTTGGGATAACTGGCACTCTACTTAATATGACATAGTTAGTGCTAACTGCCCATTAATACGCAATGACTAGCTCCAGCACCCCGTTATTAATGCTAACAGTAGCTAGCAAATGTTAGCAACTGTTGTGCTGGGCAGACAAAGACAAGAACCCGGCTAACCTCGTTGTCTTTGGCCGGTCGGCTACGTGCAGATTGTAAGGTGCCCCGTACAAATGGCTGACAAGTGTGATAGTTTCGTTACATCGTTAGCAGTGTCGTGCAAATTGCCTCCCTAAGCAACTAATGATGAGTGTGCGATGCTAATGTTAACATGCTGACTGGCTGCACACTTCACAGTACTTTGGAGCTCGTCAACGTCAACCTGAAAGAAATCACGAAGAGTATGAAATCTAGACCTGGACATTTCTACATGTCTGTCATAATGCCCTTAAGCTTTCATTACATCCAGTGGCTTTAAAAACACACCAATTGGCTGTTCTAGCATCACGAAAGACATCATTGTCGGCATTTCTGGTTCGCAGCTTCCTTTACAAACTTTGACGAATTACGACATACAAAATACAATGTTTGCCACCTAATACCAGTTTCAAGGCGAACATAACACATTAGATGACCTAAAATGTGTGACCTCACCTTCGGGTCTGCCATATTATTGTAGATGTTTGTAGATTATGGAAGTAGTTTGACAGATTCAAATCCTGACTGGCCGCCGTTTCCCCGAAGCTACTTCCTGCTACAGCTTTCGCGCGCCGAATTTCCTACGTATGCCCGCGCCCACATTGTGACAGCGCGCGCACCGCCTCTCTCGTCTGGGAAAGTGCTGTTTCTATCTCAAACTTTTTTATCAATTGATTATTGACTGAGAAAGGTGACAACTTGTGCTGTAGACTATTCAGTGCAAAAGAACAGACAGGCTTTGATATATCAAAATGTAAAATATAGGTGCGAAATTATAGGAATAATTCTATCCATAAAGAGAGCGATGAGTTAAACTGGATCAGCACTGTGAAGTACATAAGTAAAATGTGGTGCAATAAAAAGGTGTGTGCGTGTGTGTGTGTGTGTGTCTTCTGATTGTTGTAGGCTTATATTAAAATAACCCCCCATAAATCCCTGAGGCTACCACACCCATTTATTCAGAAAAATGCAACATTTTACTGAAGCAAAATTACTAACACCACACTGCAAAAATACTCTGTAACTAGTAAGTCATGCATTGAAAATGTTACTTCAGTAAAAGTATGTAAGTACATCTGGAAAATGTATTTAAGAAATACAAGTAAAAGTACTCAGTGCAGAAAATTTTAAATCAGTTTTAAAAATCCGAATTATAAATAAAAGAAAAGCAGCATGTCCTCATATTTGAGAAGTTGGAATCATGAAATGTATTTGCATGACAGATAATACAACTAATAACAATTAAATGATTATCAAAATAGTTGCCAATTAATTTTCCAATCAATCAAATAATTTCAGATGCACATGCATATTTTCTTATGGTTTGAGCACAAAATTCTTAATTTGTAAAGTAACTAGTAACTAAAGTTATCAAATAATTGTGGAGTAAAAAAGTACAATATTTGCCCCAGAAGTGTAGTGGAGTTTAAGTAGAAAGCTGAGTGAGATTGAAATGCTCAAGTAAAGTAAAAGTACCTCAAATTTGTACTTAAGTACAGTACATGAGTAAGTGTACTTAGGCTGTACTCAACCATTGATTTTAACTCAGGGCTGCTCTGTAAGATGGGGCCTCAAGATCAAGTAATAATGCTGTGTTGCCTTATGGTTTATATTTCAGTTTTATGTGCTGAAGTGGTGCATGGTATTAACAAACAAAAGTTCAGGGGTAAAACACAGTCACATTTTTACATAGGGACTGACGCAGAAGGCTAAAAGGAATTGAAACAATTACTGTTGAATGGAAAACTGAAGTTAATTAAATAACCTATATTAATTTAGAATAAAAAGTAAATAGCAATTTCAAAATGAATAGATGTATATACAAAGTAGCCAGTATCCGCGAGGTAACAAATCGCCATTAAAAGAAGAAAAACCTTTTTAAAAGACGAAAAATGAAACGTGACGCTCGAGCCCTAAATGACGACTGTCACTTTAAGTTCAGAGTTCACTGCAGCACGTGGCCAAACCAACATGGCCGCGCCCTGTGCATGTTAGTCAGAAGTGAAATTGAAATTAATACAAGAAGGTAAGGTGTATGAAAAATATTGTCCGGACTTTCACTGCTTATGGGTGTTACTTAGCCTATATTTAGCACGACAGGAAACTGTAAACTATTAGACATTAAAATAGGTAATGGCGAGTCGTTTTCATCAAAGAAGAAAACCCGCAACTTCAGTGCATGTTTTAATTACCTGTAGCTAACATCAAATGCATCTGTGTGCAGAGCAGGTGATAGCGTGACGTATAGCCAAAACTCAAATCCTTAGAAGTTTTAATGCTTTTACAGAAAAGCTATTAAAATGTAAACGTTGTTTCCTCAGTTCCACTGTTACATTTAGATTCCGAAGTTAATTGTAACCATTGTTAAAAAGTTACAGTCTCATAAACCAAGCTTTGAGCACATTTTGCCCTGCGAGCAAGAGCTCCTTAGGGACTGTTCTTTACCTATCAGAGGGAGGGGGGCTGGAGTGTGACTCTTTTTTTCTTTTGACCCTCCCGAAAGCTGATAAAAGCCTTGATTTTTCACACTTGTCATGCATGCTGATTAGTTAGTGCAAACTGTTTATTTTTTTGCCAAACTTTAAATGAGATGTAGTGATTTTGATTAAACATTACTAGTTGAAGCTCAGATTTGGTTATGATTTTTTCTGAAGAATTAATTGCACATGATGTGTCCGAGGACTGTCAAAAATGTAAAAATACCAAATTAATTTCTGAGGTATGGGCAGTGAAATAAATACAAAATACAACTTTTAAACTTGTATGCCTTCCCCTAAGCCAAAAAAAAACAAAACAGTCCCTTAGAGAGACAAAAAGTGTCTGGTTACGCTGACAAAACTGTTCAAACTTTATTTCAGGTATGTCTTTAAAATGTAAAATCAATATCAATCTGCTAATTGCATTGTTAATTTCACAGCATTACGAGTTATGGCAGATGTTAGCAGCAGCCCAGTGGCTGATACTCCACCCTCAACAGAGGACAGGCCTGATGACCTCCCCCAGGACTCCAACAATGAGGATGCAAAGTCTGACACCAAAGCTGAAGTGGGGAATGAAGCAGCCTCTGACCCCATGTACCGCTACATCAAAGAAGACCTCTTCACATCTGAGATCTACAAGGTGGAGATCAGGAATCTACCCAAGTTCACCGGCTTCAATGACCTGAAGAAGTTCCTGGCCAAACACAGCCTCAACCCGCACAAAATCAAGCTGTTTGGCAAGCAGACGTTTGCCTTTGTCACCTTCAAGAATGAGGAAGAGCGTGACAAGGCCATGAAGATGGTTCACGGCATGCAGTGGAAGGGCCAGGTGCTGAGCGTCAGGCTGGCCAAACCCAAAGCAGACCCCATCCTGAGGAAGAGGAAGCAGGAGGAGGGAGAGGGCGCAGAAGGGCAGCCCCCATCCAAGCGAACAGAGGGGGACGAGGAAGAGGAGCCACTGAGTGTCCAGATAGCAAATGTGGTGACTCCCCTGTGGAATGTGCCTTATGAGGAGCAGCTGAGGAGGAAGGAGGAGGAGGTGGTGGGGGTCCTGCAGAGGCTGGCCAAGTGAGTCTGATAGACCCATCCATACATGTGGTCCCATGTGTGTCTATAACACATCTCCTGCAGGTGTTGTACAAGATCAACACTCGATTTTCTTTAAACCTTTCCATGCCAATGGTTGTTTCAGGCATTATTGCATGTTTTACTGCATGACCCAGGGAAAAAAGTGTGTGGGCGTTCTGTGATATAAAATATACATCAATTTTACACTGTTTCTTTTACAGGGAGATTGGCAGCACCAACAAAGCCATGTTGCCGTGGTTATTTGCGCAGAAAGGGAAATACAACAAAATGTGTTGTCCTCTGGAACCTATCAAACCATCTCCAACACAGGTATATGTGAAGTCTAACTCATTTCACATTTTACTGACACTAGCATTTGTCATAAATACATACTACTGTGTTAGAGATTAATGTGTTAAAATAGACAGGATTCAGTATGTATTGGTATTGCCACTTTTTTTAGAAGCACAATAACCTAATTTGTGGTGTCACTTCATACAACACATTCCTTTATCTTTCAAGATCTCTGTTACAAAAGTAAACTCCACTGCCAATTAGAATTTCAACAAATGTAACTTGTTGTTTGATATTTCCCTTATCCTGTTCATATTTCTCTACCAGACGGAGTACAGAAACAAGTGCGAGTTCCTCATTTCAGTGGGTGCAGATGGTGAGGATAAGACCATCGGTTTCCGCCTTGGAAAATATAAAGGCGGCTCCTGTGCCGTGGTGGGGCCGGCTGAGACGCGCCATGTCTCAGCCGAGGCCAAGAGAGTGGTCAGCGAGTTTCAGAAGTTCATCAGGTATTCTCACATGGTCATGATAGACAGTCCACAACAAGGCATGGTCACAGAAAACCAAACTACTGCCACATACAGTATTTTTTTTCTGTTGCATTCAATGTCACTATTATTTTGCACATAGGACAACATCATACTCCGTGTACAGTCCTGAAACATATGAAGGACACTGGAAGCAGCTGACTGTAAGAACTACAAGGACCAAACAAGCCATGGCTGTCGTGTTCTTCCACCCACAGGTGAGGACACGTTCTGTTTACAAGTGTGATCCTGTTTCTGAGAATAGAATCGCACAGTTTGATTTCTCCTTTTTGATGTCTTTTACTTGTTTTGCTCCCTAGAAACTCGAGGAAGAGGAAGTCAATGCATTAAAGAGCTCCATGAAGACGTACTTTACAGAAGGAGAGGGGAAAGACAGCGGAGTAACCTCTCTTTACTTTGTTAGAGAGGGTCAAAGGTAAGAAAGAAATCCTGATGCTCCTTTAGTCATGATGGCTGTTTACTGATGGTATCAGAGAAACATGCAGGGCAAACAGTGGAGAACAGACTATGAAAATGTCTAAATGCTGCACTGAAGTTGTGCTTTTGGTTTCCCAGGACTTCTCCTAACATCGAGGACTTGCCCTGTGAGCTGGTGGCTGGAGAGGGCAGCATTCACGAGGAACTCCTGGGTCTAAAGTTCAGAATATCTCCTCACTCCTTCTTCCAGGCAAGAAAGATTTACCTCAAAGATTTCCATCAAGTTCATACAATGTTAACACCTGTGTATTGCCAAGTATAGGCTCCAGTGTTAAGTGTTTTTGTGTTACCTGGCAGGTGAATACAGGAGCTGCAGAGGTGTTGTACTCTGCTGTGGGGGAATGGGCCCAGCTGGATCAGGACAGCACCGTACTGGACGTGTGCTGCGGGACAGGAACCATCGGCATCTCTCTTGCTAAGGTGACATAGTTTTCTGTAAAAGAAACTTAATGCACCTGTGACAATGCTTCGGTAGTTACAACCAACAGAAGTTAGTGATAGATATTGTATCAGTCTGCACGTGTGCTTGCTTTAGGGTTTTCTACATCTCATCCTTGTCATCCTTTTCGTGTTTACACCTTGTTCTTTTCTTTTACTGTAAAGTTAAACTTTTGTATTTGTCAACCTGGACCCTGTTTTCCCCGTTTTTGTGTCTAAGTAACTATTTGAGACATCTGTTTTTGAAGATGGTCCTTACCTTTTAAAATTCCCATAATCTTACTTTTACAATGGGCCACCACTTTCTTTACATCCAGGTCCTAACTTTCTGTCACAATTCTGCACCATTTTAATTTGCTGTGTCAGGGTTTGTACAATTATTGGCACAGGGAAAAACATCTTTACAAAAAAAAACAAACTTTGAAATGTTACATTTCCTGGGATGTTAATAAAAGTTCTTGTTAACTTTTGTCTTTAGAGGGTAAAGAAGGTGATTGGGATCGAACTGTGCCAGGAAGCTGTGGAGGATGCCAAAGTTAATGCGAAGCTCAATGGTAAGAGGCCAAATAACCTCCAACTACTGCCAGTGATTTATGTATGAAATGTGAATATTCATTTTTTATGAACGCAAATGTGGGTGCGTGAAGGTCATGATAATAGAACTCTTAAGGGTGGTATTGATAAGTTTGATCTGTTGAAGTTGTTAGTGGTAGATGGTCACTGTGCAGTCCTGTTTTCACAAAATGATCTTTTTCCGTTTTAGATCCTCTCATTCAGTTTATGAATAGCACAGCATGACCAGCTAAAAGTGAATGTTTTGTTTTTATCTTAAGGTCTGAGTAATGTTGAGTTTCACTGTGGGAAAGCTGAAGACGTGTTCCCCAACATTCTCAATGCTCTCGTGTCACCCAACGTCACAGCCATTGTGGATCCACCAAGGGCAGGCCTACGTGAGTCAACAGGCAAAACATGAAAATGAAATTCACTCGCTTATGGATTTGTCACATATTAATGAGATTTTGTCTCAAACACAGATTCCAAGGTGATACTTGCCATCAGGAGAGCGGAGCATCTGAAGAGGCTGGTTTACGTGGCATGCAACGCTAAGGCAGCGATGAACAACTTCATTGAGTGAGTTTTGTTTCAAAGCAACAGTTAGAATGAAATCAGTATTTGTGGGTATCAGCTTTATTACCTGACTGTGAATAAATATTCGACTGTCATGACAGATATCATTTTTAAAGGGGGCCAGTTCGATAAAATGGTTCTTATGATGAAACTTTTTGTTTTTCAGTCTGTGCAGAGCGCCATCCAACAGAGTTCACGGGGCCCCGTTCCGTCCAGTGCGAGCCATGGCTGTGGATCTCTTCCCTCAGACCATGCACGTCGAGATACTTCTGCTGCTGGAGAGAGTGGACTACGACTCCCAGCAGCAGCAGACCAGCAAGTGATGAGGACAAGACAGGGTCTTGGCCTAGGATACGTAGCATGGGCTTAACGTACTAGAAATGTTTGCACACTCAGTACTTCAAGGAGCCTTGAATTTAATGTGTGCAGTAGCATTCTTTGCTATGTCATTTAAGTATCTGCAAGGCCTTAGTCTTAACTTTAAAGGGCCAGTTCATCCAAATAATGTAATTTACTATAAACCAGTGTGTCATCCAGTTAAATCTTCCTATTTTGTAATGCAAGAATTAATTTGTGCTTCAAATAAATTTGTTAATACAGTATGCATTATACTGTATTTGCTTAACTGAGCTTTATGGACTGTCCCTTTGCATGTTATGCCTTTTTAGTTTGAGAATGTTTACTCAAAAGTAGGTCAGGTTATGAGCATAAAGATACTTAAATTTTAATTTCCTGAATTTGATACTTTGTTTAACTGTTAATAGGGACAATCAGAATAAATGGCTTAACCCATTAAAGTGCCACCTCAGTTGAACTTCTTGTTTCTGAGTCTTTCATCATCCTGCCACTGAATAAAACACAGCCCTTCTAGTCATTAGTCAAGACATTTTATTTGCATAACAAATATCACTTAAGTCATGGAGCTCAGGTTGCAATACATACTTCATTTTCTAGGCAGCAACATCTCAAACAATTCATCAGAACAACTCAACAGCAACACATGTAAAAGCAGTATTTTTCTTTTCTTCTCACTGACACACTTGGCGAGACAAACGCACAGAGAGGAAAGCACATTCTTAAAGCAATCTACAATATCACAACAGCCTTGTGTTTAAACTTGTGATGTGTCCTCGTATAAAACCACAGGCAGAATACTTGACAAAGAATGCACAGCAGTTTCTATTTTGTTCCAGCAAATAACGTGTCTATGTATCTGTGTCCTAGATGTTTCTACTGTACAATTTGCAGCAACATTAAGTATTCTATAAAATGCATAAGACTGTATGTAAGCTTTGGTATACACACTTTCATCAGCTTGTGTTGGACTAAATGACTTTTTTGTTCATGTCAGTGTACCAACAAAATTTTGCAAGGCTGCCTTTTGAGAAAATGTATTCTACTTGTGGTTAGAAAATATGATCGACTGTCACGATGATGGCAAACATACACAAACAAAATACACAATCCATTAAGACGAGTCTTAAAAATCTGCACATGCTGGAGGCATTTTTCCCTTAAGTATCTTTTGTTTTACAGGCTGTCTTCATTAAGATACTAATTGGCTAAACAATAAATGCTTTATCAAGTAAAAGGGGGGCTTGGTCTTTCCACTTCCTGTTGAAGGGTGTTTTAGGTCCAGCGTACTTTATTATACTCTGAGCCCTTCGTGAAATGGATGAACTAAGGCAACATGTAGCCAACGTGATTTCTTAAGGGCACCAAAATTGAAAAGCTAATGAAATGTACCAAATGGTTGGTTAGTGTGCATGGCATAAGTACTTTAATAAAACGCTCAAAGAGCTAAGAGCATGAAAGAAATGATCCTTTGCCCTAAACATAATACAGTACTGTGTGCTTGGGTTTGCTGCAGTGTTGGCATGGGGAGCAGGGCATCACTTTCTTGTAATGCCAAAGCAAAGGAAAAAAGAAAGAAAAAAAAAAAAAAAAAAGAAGGCAACAAGTCCCTCCCAATGCAAGTCACCCCAAACATCCCAAAAGCAGTTACTCCTGTACCGACAGCATGATCAGTCAACAAAAAAAAAATCTGACAGGACATGAGTGCATAACAATAGTTCTGAATAGTCATCACTTCACAACGCATGTTTTTTTTAATCGTGCAAACCAAGACAGCAACTGTCCATTCTGAGGAAAAAAACAAAACGGCACCCAAAATATCCAAAACACCGACCATTAAAATACCCAAAAAACAAGTAATTTTGTTTCCCAATTAAATGAATTGTATAAATACACAAGTATTAGTAGTCCCTTTCACATACTTTAAGCACAAACAAAACTAATAGTGCTGGTACTCTGTTGAATACGTCACTTCAAAACAAAACCAAGGTGTGTAGTGGTTTCTGCGGTCAAAGCATGCATTTTTATTTTGATGTGGTTCATATGTGATCAAGTCATGTTAACTTCTCTGTAGCCTGGGTGTGTTTTTTTTCTAGTGCCATAGCGAGGATTCATCTAGAGAGGTAGACGATATTTTCTCTACTGTCTGTTAGTGCATTTAGACCTACCTTTATATCTACCAGCTGAACCAATAAAACATGGGTGAAGGAAGCAAGCAGTTCTACCGGCCTGGTCAACGTGTAACTATATTGCCATTAGATCTATGTGATGCATAATTAAGTAATGGATGGTGGTGTGTGATGTCTGACAGTGATTGGGTTTCAGTGCCGTGGGTCATCAGTGATTTCGAGACTTAAACGTCAACAGTGCAGAGGGGTTCACTCCCTGGCTGGGCAGACTCCATTACGGTCATCTTGGGCTTCTTTCTAGTTTCCTCCTGTACAGGAATACAATAAAGTAAGCATAATATGAGGAGTACAGTCTGGGAATGGTCAAGATTTTAAATCCATTCTCAATTCTAAAATACACAAATCCTGGCAATAGCCATATAATTGTGTCCACCAGAGACTGGCAGCTACACTTCTAAAGATGTGTGTAAAAACGCTCCAGTCTTCTAAGCCTAAAACATCAAGTGCAGCTTCAATAGAGAAGAGCATCCCACAGTCACTACCTGAGACCCTGCAGATTTACTGTTTCCCCAAATTAAATTCTGGGTCTTTTTTGGATTAATTCTGGATCAAAACTACCACCTCGTCTTTCCTTCAATGAGCCCTCTGGTGACAAAATGCCTGATGCACAACAAGTACTTCTGTTCATGTTTGGAACCAATCACAAATGAAAATCTAAGGACTGAAGTACAAATCAGTGAGTGGAAGTTCAGATGAGGGTTTAGAAAACAGGATAAATGTTTAACACTGGTTAGAATGACACTTAAGTGACTGAATTCAAATTCTCACCCTCTGCGCGGCTAGTTTCCTCATTTCTTCTTGCAGCTTGTTCAAGATATGAAGGTTTGGCTTGTTCTTTTTGGCATACTGCTGAAGCTCGATCACACTCTTGTCAGAGCTCTCCTGCAAGAGATCAGTCGTTTTAAGAGTCATGGAAGTGTGCTTGCATAATGAAGAACTATCTCCATTACCAGTATATCACCATTCATTTTTTTATTGGTTGTTCTTGGAAGAGACATTACATGGCAATCAGTTGATAAGCCTGATAATTGTTGACTCAAAGCTGCATGTTGGTGTGGTGAGAGTTTAATACTGGAAGACGTTTAACTGCTTTTAAGGTTTGACTGTTGACCTTAATGTGTGCATTGGCATGTATTACATGCTGGAAAAGAAAGCTGACACAGTTCTCAGAACCAGATCTCTTATCCTCTTGAGATAAAATCAGATATTAAGTATTTACCGTAAATAAAGCTCAACATAAAACAGAAAGATTAAATTACAGCCAAACTCCCCCCCTCCCCCCAGTTTTCCATGAAGCATTACAGTAAATCTTTAAGAGGGTACTAACCTTCTTGACCATCTTATTGCTCTCTCTGCCGTACATGCGCAGCAGTGAGCCCCAGTTCTTGACGTGGGGATGAAGCATCTGCAAGATCTTCTGAGATGCTAGTTGTTTGCCCACCCTCTTGTTCTTGCCTGGTGGCAAATGTTGAAAGCATGTCACTGAAAGCTACATGTATTTTTACTTGTTTGTTAAAGACTCTGTGAAACAAAATGGACATGGTAATTAAAGGGATAGTGCAGATTTTTGGGGTTGTATGAGGCACTTACCCATAGTCTGTGTATTACCTACAGTAGATGGCAGTCTACATGCTCCCAGTTTATGAAGAAGGCATGAGTACTGCCATGGAAGCTGAACAATGTATTGCTGTGGGGCCAGCAACAAAATGTATTTTAGCCACCTAAAAAAAATGTAATGGAATAAAGGAGCCTGATGGCTTTTAAGAGAGCATAGATGGATATAACAGCTTCAATTCCCCATATAAAAGGGTTGTCGGTGGTAAAGCAGAACGGTGAAAGTATTCTAAATACTGCATACACCTAAATTGTACATTGCTTAGCTTCCATGGCAGTACTCCCGCCTTCTTCTCCAAACTGGGGACATGCTGACCAACATCCACTGACTATGATTAACCCCACTTCGAGACATCCGAGCACTCACTTTAAAAACCCAACTCTTCAGCTCTACTCATCGACTGGTTCAGTCTCAGCATGTGGATAGAGGAGGATAAGGGTCTACTTACACCAGCCACGCACAGTGTGCTTCCCACATGTCATCACATATTCACTCTTCTGGTTTTTCCCTGGGATCACCTCAAATTTAATGCTGGTGTCTCCCATTCCATGGTTTCTACAGGAAAGACGTAACAATAAAATTCAAATCTATCTGCAGCCTGGCACTTTGTTGACCTTGGCAACAGTGACAGAACAGGTCTTGAACATCAAGTAGCAACAGATCATGTAAAGGCTTGCACACCGGCAGCTTGTGTTCAATGCATTGAACTGTGTTCAGTTGTAATGCACTGCATCAGACTAAACTCTTCATCCATTATCTGTTACTGCTCATACTTTTCAGGGTTGCAATCTGGCACAAGAACATGCAAACGCCACAATCCTTGTACCCTCATGCTGCGAGTGGCACTGTGCCGCCCTCAACTTTTCATTAGATAAAATCTTGAAAAAAAAAGTCACACAACCAAAAATACTGATTAAAATGTACCTGATTGATGGCATTATGCATTACCTCTTACCTTTTAAGGCACTCATGAAGAATCTGATATGGCGAAAGTAGTCCTGCTTTGTTGGTCAGCTCATATACCCTCGAGTCTTCTATACTGATATGATTAAAATACTGTGGAGCAGAATACACACTGTGTTACCTCTGATTCAACAATATATTAGCCTTAAGAGGGAAACATGTTTTAACTTTGGCAACAGTTCTTGTTGTCATAATCCCCAAAGCCTGCCTGCCAATGCTGATACATAGGTGAACGTCAGCTTACTATATTCCACTTTGCTGAAAAAGATTCCAGCTAAGATCATAAATAAAAAGTAAAGAATGTGAGAAAAAAGGTACCTCCAGTTCATCGCCCTCAACAGGCTTCTCCTCCGAGGTCTGCTTCACAAAGTCAGGGATGAGGATTTCCAGTGTGGCTCGAGCTGAAGTTTACACCACATTACAGTGAGAGCAAAACTAGTAACATATCACAACATGCAAGTTTATCATTTAGTAATAATATAATATTGTAATCTTTATTTTGGTATGTGTCAGCTAATTCATTTTGTTGAAGAAAATTATAAGTCGCATATGTTCCATTCTAGTCAGTGTCATGTACCTCCAACATGATGTATAAAACACACTTTAATTATTTTAAACTAGGACCAAGCTGGCTCTTTACAAGAAGCCCTTTAACTGCTTAACATTTAAGACAAACTAACACTTGTAAAAAAAAAAAAAGATTTACAATTATGGACATTTCAAAATTCCCCCATTAAGACCTCACTGCTTTCCTAATCTCTTTACCCACTGACAGTGGTACTCTGAGCTAATACAATGACTACTCAGTTGTTAAATACACCAACCAGTCTATGTCAATGCCAAGTACTGTAAATCAAAAAAAGTTACCAGCTTTATTCTTGGCAAGTTTTTTACTGCTTGCGGTTCCTGTACCGTAAGTTACTCCATCTATAATGACTGACGCTCCAAAGGGTTCACTTGGGTTCTCTGTGGGGCACAAAAATTCAGTTTGATTTGATATATTTTAACACAAAACAACAAACTTTAATGTATAAGCGGTAATAGCAATAGTTCTGTGTGCACTGTACACTGATTTCAAAATTAGTGTACTGGGCTGTGTAGACAGAATGAGTGAAGTAGATTTACACATCACAAGTCATACCAGAGACACCATGCCTATTCAGTTCGCTCTTAAATAAATAACAATTTACATCTGATGAGACAGAACTGACATAGAACTTTAAATACCTTGACTCCCTAAGAACACTTACAAAAAATGAACTTACCACATTCAAAAAAGTTGTAAACAGGTCGAACCTTTAGGACGCGTTGCATATATTCATGCAAGATGCAAACTTCAGACTTTCCGTTAGGGTTGATGACAAATTCTGTTACAACAGAAAATTAAAATGCATCAACTACAATACACTAGAAGCACAACTTTGACAATGATAGTATACTCACAAACAGCATAAACTGACATAAGGGCAAGTTTACTACAATTGATTTTGACTTCCACACTTTTTGCAAAAAGATCTGAAGCTGACAGTTGGCAAGTTCCTTTTTACTACACCACAGAAAAGTCAAGACAAAAGGAGATCATCCACAGCTGGCTTAAAGGAATAAAAATGACACTGCCCATGTTCATCACAAAGCAAACGTGTCTTCCAAATGCAAATGTAGAATGGCTTTTGTGGGGTTTCCAATAGCTTTTCAGATGACAGTGGGGTTCTATGGCACAGAGTATAGAGTGATATCAGGATACACTAGAGTTGGGTTATTGATAAGATTTTACTGATAACAATGCCATCATTGATTCTGCTTATCAGTCCAATTCTTTATGGATTCACTTACTGATTCCTGATTAATTTAATTAATTTCTGGGGGAGAAAGTAGGCCTACACAGGTATCAGCATCAATGCAATGGTTTTATTATGTGTCTGAACATAGTGTCGATCGCATGAGGTAATACATGTACTGCATTCATTTTCAAAATATGCTAAGCCTGCCTGCACGGCGCTAATGTTATGACATGATATTAACCCTCAGTAATGGACATGCTGCTCGATTAGGAAGCACTCCGGTGGCACTCGTGTGTAGATATGCAAATGTATGACATCCCTGGAATTTAAGCTCATCTTGCATAGAAAGATGTTTTAGTATATTGATGGTGTTTCCGCACTTTAAAAATGGACATTTTATAGACACTAAAAGCAGCAATGTTGTCATCGATCTTTGAAGTCATACTTTGGACCGTTCGTTCCTCTCCATGACTCTTGCTGTAAGTTTCTAGCAGTGTACACACGACTTTGAAGTCATTGTTTTGCAATTACCCAACTGTCAGAGTAACATGTCGACGTGAATAGAAGGAATTGATAAGCTTGCAGTTTGCGATTCCCATCCCTGGGCTACCCAGACAATATCTATGAGGATAAATGGTTGTTTTTAAAGGTTTCATTGGTTACCGACGATTAAAAAAGTAACACAAGCCGTTCTAAAAAAGCATGACTTGTATGACATTTATTAAGTATAGGGTTGGGAGTCGTTAGGATTTTAATGATTCCGATTCCTTCTTAACAGTCCGATTCCCCTTACCGATTCCTACATTATATTCATTACACTTGCTATACTTAAACAAGTATATAATAAACACAAATGCAATCATACAAATACAAAAACTTTATTCTAACTGTTGCACAGTACAATTAGATGAAAATACACATTTGTGTGTGGTGTGTATTTCAGATTTAGAGCCTGTATCATCTCCCTGAGAATATTTAACAACAAAAAGTGATTCTCTGATTTCTACAGTAACACTATTACCTCAAATTAACCACAGCAATGTAATAAAAAATACCTATATGCATTCATGCTTGGGCTCTGTTATTTACGTGACAACACCTGAACATAACACACACAGACACACATTGGCTGTTTGTTTCTACAGCTCCCCTCGCTGGAAGTCTCGGACCTCCAGCCGCCCGCCTCTGCCTTGATTAAACGCTGAAAATTAAATAAAAGAGGGAGACAGGTTTTTCCTATTTTATCTTATTTTGTTATATTTCTCCCTCTCCCCTTGCTGGAAGCCTCGGACCTCCCGCCGCCCGCTCCTGTCTCAAACACAGAGGTCTCCCTCTCCACTGAGCACCCACGGCACACGCCCGGCCTGTTAAATAGCCTGTAACCATAACAACTGTGTGACACAAACTCAGTGCTTTAGTCACTGAATAATGTCGGGCTCGGTCGGGTTTGGAAAGAAATATGTGGCCCGTGCCGCACTCTAATGGAAATGCATGTTTTTTTTTTTACAATCTAGGAACCGTTTGCAGGAACCGTTACTCCAAATGTGATGGAACCGCTTCCGGAACTGGAACTTTGGACCTGGTTCCAAAAAAGAACTGGATCCGGATCCCAACCCAAATTAAGTATGAATCTATATAACTGTTACCTTTCTTAGTTGGTGCATCTTGGACTGAAAGTGTGATGAGTTTCTGGTTGGCAGGCAGGATGGGTCGCTCTGACTCCGCCTGCTTCCTCTTCATGTCTCTGTTAAACTGTCTTCTTTCAGCCCAGGTACGAAACTTCTTTACTGTGACTTGTTCAAAGTCAAAGCATTTTTCAAGGTACAAGCGAAAGTCTTCAAGTTCTGTGATGAGATTTTATTAGGTTAGATCATTAAATGAAAAACAGCTTGACGAGTTCTTAGAGCAGCAAAAACAATCACTGGAAACGAACAATGCAAAGCTCTTACCTATGGACTCGTCCTTGCACACCTCCACCTTGGCCTTGACTTGTCCTAAGGCTCCTTGGGCAGTGTCACAGGGTTGGGACTCTTTACCCTGCAGACTGTCATTGGTGGTACCCTCTCCACCTGGGCCACCGTCAGTCATACTGGGGGTAGGGACGCCGTCTTGCTCCTCAGCTGTAGCATCTGACCTGCCTGCTTGCTCTTCATCATTGGCCTCAACACCAGGCTTGACAGGAGACTTCTCTGCATTAGATGTCACCTCCCCATTCAGCTCCTTTTCCTCCTGTTCCTTCATTTTCTTGTAATGTAGGCAAGGGATGCTGCTGGTAGGAGGGTCATGTTTCTGTACCAACAAAGAAGTGTTGTAACAAGTTGGCTCAAGTTCAACGCCATGGCTAGCTTTACCCTGACTTTTAAGAATTAGGCTGGAATACGGCCTTAAAAAAATTGTTCTAAACTGCTGTTTTTGAATTAAGAAATGCTCATATTTTGGAATGCAATAAAGCTATCAGTGGCAGATTAATATTGCGAGGCTGTTGCTTAACACTGAGCAGCACTACAAACTGAATATGTAACTAATAATTGTGTTTAGAGAACTGACACAAAAGGTGGTGCACTCAACTAATGAGAAGATCAAAACCCCTGTCAAGTTAATTAGATATAACACTTTTGTTGCATCTTACCCTAATACTGCCTGTCCCAAGGAAGTAGGGTCTGGACCAGGTAACCACCCTGGTTTCCCTGTGCAGGTAGACTGGAATGCCTGAGTTATGGAATGTCATGATCCATCCATCAGGTAGAGGCTCGGTGGGAGGACGCCCACGACCTGGGAAAATGTAAAGGTAGGCAGTTAACACTACACTCTTACTTTATGAGGTGAACTCCTCTATTAATTATTATAAAACTTTCATGTGTTGCTACCATAGAAATGACTAGAAAGGACATTGAACTGTTTGCTGTGGTTATTTGACCACATTAACAGAAAATGGCAATTGCTGTGAGTTGTTATGGTGACAACACAAGTCACGGGGGCCATGAAGTGAGTCACACTCACTTGTTTGAGATTTCCGTTTCGGCTTACTGTTGTTTAGTTAGGTTTTCAAATAAGCAATCTGTTACTTTTAAAATATTACCCTATTTACCCGTTTAGCGAGACCAAGGAAATAAACAGCGTCGGACCAACATCAGTCTTTCAGTGAAAAAGAGAAACTTGGGACTGGTGTATGGTTGTATGTTTTTGTTAAATAAGGAAAACAGAGTATTTCCTTTCCTATTGTGAGTTTGTTTATTCATAAAATATGTATTAAGGTTGTGAAGTCCTTGCTATAGTAGTAGTATAGCAGGGTAGTGCTATAATGTAAATTCAGCAACCCTCAATTCCTCTCTAGCATCAAGGCAACGGAGATGGTGCACAAGAGACACCGTTTCATGCTTTATCCTACTCCATTGCTCATTTGGTTGTTACTGCAAAACCTCACCTCAGGGAGCTCTGTCCAGCAGAGGCTGAGATCCAACTGCTGGACCAATAACAAGAAAAACAAATGTGCTTATTTAGATTAAAAAAAATGTCAGACAACATCACATAATGTGTGTTTTTAATCTGGTGGAAGAAATTTTCTTTCAAAGTTGAAACAACAAAGATATGATGGGTTAAAGTGTGACTTGCAGTGCCCGCCTCATTGACTCCAATAGAACTGACACCCAAGTCTGGCTCCTTGAATGCTGTCACTGTTGTCATGACCATTCATTCTATTATTTTTTCCCTGGCTAAACCCTGTAATGTAATCTATATCAGCAATGCACACTATTGTGAAACATAAAGCTAAAAACTAGTAACACAATACTATCCTATATTTGGTATTAATTCACTTTGTGACAAATAGCATATACTGGTTGGAAGATCATATCACATTGTGCCCCATACTCCTGAAACCTCAATCCACAATTCCTTGTTAGTACCCAACCCTAAAACCGACAGATCCACCACTCACTCTTCAGGACTGTCTTAATTTTGGTCATCATGGGCTGAACACCTCCTTCACCATCTGACTGATGATCACTGTCCCCGCCATACTTGTCCTCTGTCACACGCATCTTTTTTGGGACCGGCATGCCCTCCTCCAGCAGAGCATCGACATCATTGTCAAACTCCTCCTGGAAGAGTCAAAGGTTAGGGCCAGGAGAGAGGGATGGGTCACCAGTGTAGGGGAGTTTCTTCTGAGCAGAAATTTTAACTGATGTGGTGCTGTAAAGTGAACAATCGGTGGAGAAAAAGACCAAACCAACAGCAAAAAAAAAAACCAAACAAAACCAAAAAAAAACATCAGTGCCACTTTGGGCATAACAGTAAACTACTTCTGGATTTAGAATGAGACAATATCAAACCTATATCAACTTCTACAAATGACACATTTTTAGCAGCCTTGACTCGCTCTTTTTATTATTATTGATTACTTTTGCATCAAAGGAAACCCAACATTTAATGGAAGAAATTGAAAATGGCACTAACCTCTTCCAGCATTTCACTTTGCATTTTCAGTAATAAAACAACAACAACAACAGCAACAAACATTTATCTAAGTTTCTGCTGCTTCATTTATCCGGTTTTAACCAGTCACAGCCCACTGATAAGGAAATGGTCTGAGGTGGTGCAATATTAAATCAAGAAATCATTACAACACTATTTTTCCCAATTCTGGCAATACTTTATACTACATATTCCCTAAATATTTTCCCCCTATAGCTTATAACATAACTATAAATGTACAGCCCAACCTATATTTAGTGCAACACTGGCATTGCAAAGAAGAACTGGCTAAATGTCCTATTACTAGCTTTTAATATTGTATTGTGTACTCAGTCAGTTAAACAGCAAAGCCTTCTTTGCATAAGATACAAGGTTTATGGAAATGTGGTCTCAATTTGGAAAACCACTGACAATCCTAACAAACCCATCCCCAAAATACAAATGCCTGGACAATTCATCCCAAAAATCTAGATTGTTTTGGTGTGAGCTGTCGAGTGTTGGAGATAGTGGCCGTAAAGATGTCTGCCTTCTCTCAAATATAACTAAACTAGATGGCACTCAGTTAGTGGTGCTCAAAGCACCACAATAATCAATTTGAAAAACACAACAGCAATGCCTTTTTCCAGAAATCATGACCTGGTTGCTAAAGATAATTTCACAGACCGTGTTGTGAGCAATTGTCATGTAGGAACTGTTGTCTGTCAACCAAATCACCACGCACAAGGAAGCGTGCATCTACTAATCAGGGTTCCTACGCAAGTATGAAAAGTATGGAAATAAATTTGATCAATTTTCAGGTATTAAAAAGTATGGAAAATCAAAAATAAAGTATGGAAAAATATGTATGTTTCCACACTATTACCAGTGTTCTAAAATACTGTTTTCTAAAATAGAAAATTAGGTATTTCCAAAAATAATTGAATCAATCCGGATCGTGTTTTATGCCGGGGCAAGCACAGTTTGTGTGAGAGCCAACGTCTCAGAAAACATACCGCCCCTTTTACCCGGTTGACAAGTGGTATGTGCAGTCCGCTGCCCCATGACCGTCCTCCAGCCCCCCAGGTATCAAGTTTCACTCCAATACTGCACCTTCGACAAGACGACGAGTTTCACGTGGTTCACAATGTGTAGATGCAAGTTTTTGGATGGATGGCTTGACAATACTGTATATAAATACTGGTTGGCCAAGGTTTCCCAATTCACACAGAGCTAGATGCAAGCTTTGTGTGAAATCGTTTGACATTGCCAACATGGGGGAGAAGGCGATTCTGAGCCACATGAAAGGAAAAAACACCGACGTCTCGTTACTGCATTGCTTGCACCCAGAGTCCCAACCTTTTTGCCACAGCTCAGACATTGAACTTACCTGAGTTTTTATTTGCATCCCATTATGGTACTTGGCTACAATCGCCTATTAAGAATAATTAAATATGATGGGAAATATTATACACTGATATATTTACTCAGATGTCGCATATTCTCTGAAACAAACAAACAAACAAACAAACAAAAAAGTCTGAGAAGTCTGGAAATTAAGGTATGGAAAAGTATGGAATTTTGAAATTCCAAATGTGTAGGAACCCTGACTAATGGACAGGAGGCTAATGCTCATGACAGGTGTAAACATAAATGGCACCCTCTTTGGATGAGCTTTAAAATATGAATTTTTGATTTGTGGGTGAACTGTCCCTCAAATGGGCTGTATTCCTGCTACAATCTGCACTGTGCTCCATTAGTGAGAAGACATGATCCAGGAGGTCTATAATTATCTTTGTTTTGATGTCCTGTCCTTAATCTAAAACATTGAGTAAACAGCAAAATAATGCTGTCCCAGGTGCATTTGTGTATAGGTGCATGGATATGTGTGGCCTACTCCATGTTGTATTGCAGCAAATGTTGAACCAAGTTCAGCTTTTTTTTTCCCCACTGGACAACATTGTTGTTTTTGTTGCTGAAATGACAGAGGCTGTGTTTAATGTCACAGTTTTAATAATGTCCTCTCTTGCATGGACTGAACTGTATGGGCTGTATTAGAGCTACATTAATTCTGCTTGACAGTAAAGGTCAAAATGGGTGTGTAGCTGATAATGACAAGGGTTACTGCAGACATAGGAACAGACGTACCTCATAGGAGAAAGCCACGGCCTCCTCATCTGCTTGCTCCTGCTGAACTATGACCTCAGACTTAAAGCCACCATGCTCTGCATCGTCATGGTCCAGGAAGTTCTCGTAGAAGTCATCCAACTCATCCAGCACAGCGAACTCTACCTTGTTTTCCAGGTCTGCCTCAGCCTCCTCTGATCTTCTGCCTGCTATGTTTCCTGCTCCAGAGCAACCCTCAGCCGCTTCCTGCTCACTTGTCAAATCATGCAACTCACCATTGAGGCTATCTAAGCCGTCTTCACTTACTCTCTCCTGCCCTTCACCTGTGTACAAAACCTTCCTATCTTTGCTATTGCTGCTTTCAGTAAAGCTAACACTGATCTTAACATCTCTGAGAAGCTTGAGGTCTGGTAGAAACGCGGTGACCGGGGGAGCGTGGCGGGCTGTTCTGGGACACGGTGGGTTGGGATTGGCCTCATCTGAGAGGTGGCTATAGAAGGTTATTGAGCCCTTGCTGAGGGGCAGCTGTGGCTTGGCTTCCCCGTCCCCTGGGGTGTATGTGTATCCATCACCACCAGAGCTAACGTCCATTACCTCTGCGTCACTGGACGTTTGCAGGGGAGGTGGTGGAGGTGCTCTGCCCTCATCTTGGCCAAAATCATCAGGTGGCTCCAAGGGGAGAGGGGGTAGCACATCATCTATCTCCATTTCCTATGTAACAAACTTCAACTTACACAGACTAATAATTTATTCTAAAATCTGACCTGTTGAGACTCTCCTCTTATCTAAACCCAGAATGCATGCAGAAGCACATCCCTGTATAGACCACGTACCAGAGGTGAAAATGCTAAGCTGACTACATTGTTCTTTTCATTAATGTAGACAGCTTTCAGAATCACTGTCTCAATTATTGGAAATCACAATGCATTCAGCTTAATATGGGATCTAGGCACTGATCATCCTCCACTGGTATCTTCTGGGAGCTGGAAGAAAAGGAGCAATGAGAGTGACGTTAGATGTTAGTGCAAACTTTACGACTAACAGCGTAATATTTAACGTAACCTTACAAGCGTTACTACGAACAGTATATCATGTTGGCTGCTGAAAATTAACTTCGACGTAACATGCGGGTCAGTTTGTTTGGGAATAAGTTTGTCCAAATTCTAATATCAAGCAAATTACTGGTGAAATAAAATGGGGGGAGAGCCTCGCTTTAGCGCATCTGTTCAGTCTACAGCTGCACAGCGGGCCCTTGGTAACGTTATCATCAATGCTAATATGCTAGCGAGAAACCATAAAGCTGTACAAATCTCTGCGGCTGCAGGACTGGTAGGCTAGACCGACAACGGTTTATTACAGAAATACTCACCGATATATAATTTACGCGACTGTCTCCTATTGAGCACCTGACTACCTTTCTAAATTATTTTATTCTCGACGCGCCACCATACTGCCTCAACTGCAGCCCCGCCATCTTGAAGAAAACCACAGCGGCAAAAGCAATTCAGGCTCCACCTCCCAGTACCGGCTTTTTGATAACTGATAGATAAGCGGACCAATCACAACATCCCTCTATAATCGCTAACTGGTATGATTCAGCCAATCAGCATTGGCGTTACTCATTTTGGGCGATGGGCAACATGTTAACATGAATGTGAATGAATTGCCTCTATAAATGAAACTGTTAAAGGTTGACTATTCATTTTCTTTTGGAATTTTGATTTTATTTTTAAATATGTGTCAGAGTATGGAGAGAGCTTTGTGTCAATATTATTTGTTTGAGGAGATTGACAATCCTTGTGTAATCTGTAAATATAAAACAATTTCAACAACCACAAAAAAGATTTGTAAACTCACAAAAATATTTGGCAAATTTAAAACACATCTGCAAACACACAAATTCCACAAAAAAGAAAAAAAACTCTGTGTGTAAAATGCAAATCTGCAAGCTTAGAATTGAGATTCACAAATAAAAACTGGATACCCAAACATCTGTTTGAAATTTGTGAATGTTAGGAAGGTATTCACAAATGCCTTTTTATTTATTTGTAAACACATTTAATATATGTACAGATGTTTTATTATTTGTGGAATCTATTTGTGTATTTGCACAGATCAATTTTATATTTGCAAAATACCTTTGGGAGTACAAATCTCTCTTTGCATTTGCAAAAGGTGTTTTACGATTAAAGATCACACATTTATGCACAGCTTGTCGATATGTTAACACAAATAATATTGAGACAAATTTATCTCCACACAGAAACACAGTTCTGCATCACACAAGAATGTTAACTGCAATGCATAAAAGACAAAATCTGCGAATGTCTCGATCTGAAATGGGTGTTTTACGTTTGTTTATTCTTAGTGCTAAAAAAATACACTCAAGAACACACTTTCTTTATCAGGTGTGTCTATGCAAGATTCACTTACCTATGTGTAGATGCTGCTTTGACACCAAAATAAGAATGTTGTTGGTCAATGCTGTGTGAGAAAACTAGTTATTTGAGAGCTACTAGTCAGAAATGTTCTTTTTAATGATCTTATCTGACATGTCAATGTAATAAAGCCACACTGACAATATGTCTACAAACATTCTCTGCGCATATAGTCAGGCTGTTTATGAACACTGTGTTTTCATGATTTTCTTTTGCACTGCCAACACCAGTGCCCCAGATTACAGATTTAAGAGTGTCACAAAAATGAATTAAATATATCCATGTAGCATCTAATTAAGTCTTGAGGGGCAGACTACATGAGGATCATATGAATCACAATATCATAATTTGCCAGTTGGGGTCACTATTCACCAACAGTAACAGATCAGTGAAAATGCACAGCACGTTCAGTTAAATTTATTTCCTTCCACTAAAATACAGGAGGAGTGGAAATGGTTTCATAAGTGATATAATCTATTTATGTAAAGTTAGGGTAGCTCGTGGGGAGATTTCAAACACACACAACAACTATGTTGCATCTCAAATTAACATTGCTCTAATTCAACATAAGAGCAGCAAACTTTCATCTTTTCTTAAATTTAAATGAGTGATGTTGGCCACATATATTTTATACTGTTTATTTAAGCAGCACATGTCTTTATCACAGCATATTTTGACTTTTTATAGCAGGAAAAACTCAGCCTTTACTAATAACAATAATGAAGCCCCTAAAATCAGAGAAGCTAAATAGAATTCAGCCGTAATTAATCTATTATTTGAACCTGTACATTTCCTATAAAAATACCATATAAGAAAAAGGCTTGATAGATTTTTTTTAAAGAATTGGGTCTGTTGTGCACTGCATGGAACAGCCACATGGTTATAGGAAAACTCCAAATACTGAGAGTAGACCAAAGGACACATAAAAATATTCAAGTTATAGCAAGTGAGGGTTCTTCTGCTTTTTATGGGCACCTGAAGAGTTGACATTAAATGAGGGGGCCTTTGGTTAAGTGCGACCTCACTGAAATACCCCTCTCCACACAAGATAGTGGAAATATGCCTCTTTAAATCTCTTTGAGTTCAGTAACTATAGAGTGCTACTATGAATTGATAATAAGTATTAAATATTTGCACAAAGCCCTCTCCAGTTTGAGTTTCTGAGCCACTTAACAACTTTCTAAAGGCTAGTAAACGTGAATATGTTTCCTGTTGAATTAGCGCCAACACCTGTATGAGTAACGTGTGTGGGTAAGGAACACAAGAAGCAGAAGTAAAAACACACATGGTATAAAAGAAAGAACCAGATATCTTTCGGGTATAGGTTAAAATGCAGAAATCAACCCAACAGGTGCACATACACATTTAGTTACTTAAAAAAAGGGTTCCTCACAGTGTGTTTGTGTAACAATCATGATTTGGTGAGCCAAATGTGAGTGTTTGGATAAACTGTTTTATTGTAGAGCAGCTGTAAAATGCATTATTCTACCATGGGAGTGGTTAGAGATCCAGTGCCTGAAACGGTTTGCATTCAGCATCGGTTGTTACCAACACTGAGGCTACTGTTGTGCAGGGTTGGGGCATAACTAATGAAATTACCCATAACAGGGTTACAGTAGTTGGTAACTCTAATTTGTGATAATTACTGTAAAGTCTAATCAGATTACACATTATATAGAAAAATACCAGAGACCCAATGATTCTATATTGTGTTAAACAGAAAATAATTTCAGATCGCAGTCTGGAAATTGTGCATAAACTCCATGTTGAGTACTTCAAGGATACATGAGATTGCATTGAAATAATCCTGAGCACTACAGTACTGATTGTATTTCAAAGCAGGTTACTCGCAATCTGTAATGTCTTAGACTTTTCGAAGCGACCCAACCCCACAGTTTTGTGAAATGCAAGTACAATATTTGCCTCTACAAAATTATAAATGTTCTTTGGCAATCTTTTAAATTAGCACACATTTTCAAAAGATGCATTTTTATAACTTAAATCAAGAAGACAAAATACATATCACTGATGTTAATGAGGCCGCTAGTGTCAGCTAGCTTAAGAAAAAGTGCAGACGAGTCTTCATGTTCACATAGCTGCTATGAAGCGCAGCTCGAGGAGGGGGAGAGGGGGGCAGGGAGGGTGGAGGGTGATGCAGAAAGGCACACAGTGGATTTCCTCCATAACGTCTTCACACCTGCAGTTTGAACTGGAAAGAATTGGTGCTCCATTTGCCTGTGTCACCACAGTTAGACATGTTGCGCTCTGTGAAGGTCACATTACCTTCTGCGTCTATCAGGATAATTGTATTGGTCCTAAATGAGCAGGGACACAGGATACAAGCAAAGAAACAGATAAAAAACAAAATGAACAACTGAAAATATGAGGGAAGAAAATGAAAGAACAGAGGCAAGTGGCAGGAGTAATATTAATGACAACTTAAGGAATTTAAAAGTCACATTTCAGTTACTTATCAAACACCAGTATTAACACTGAGCAGGCGTTAGTAGACCGTGCCTTGCTGAAGTACATGTTGATGGCTCTGGCAGGGACTGACACTGACCTTTCGGCGATACGACAGTCTCTGTATCCACCACTACACTGTGGCATCACAGTACAGACAATTTCCCCTTTTGTTCCCTTGCTGTGGAGGATCGATTGCACTGGGGATTTTTGTGTACCAACAATTCTGTGTTCTCTATGTTCCTGCAGGCCAGCACAGGCCTGTCAGTCACCTCAAGTAGGGACAAACAAGGGGAGAGAGAAAGGAGAGAGATTCGGCATAGGAGAAAGACACTGACCTTGTGCCATAATTAGGGGTGCGAACACACACTGCTGACTGAGCCTGGAGCAGAGGCTTGCTGATACCATTGCCCTGGCTCTCCTGAGTTGGATCAGGTGCGTTCCTATTAAACAAACCCAAAACACACCTCTTAGAGAAGCTTTAGAGTCATATGTAAGCATAGATCATTATGATGTCTGATGAAGGGCTGGTGCCCAAAAGATCACACGTGGTGATACGATTAAAATGTTCAAAAGGAGCAGTTTCTGGTGTGCGGACCTGTTTTTTGTATTTTTGTAATTTTTCTTCTGTCCAGCACCCAGTATTTATCGTTTTTGGACGTGCTATTTTTGAGTCTTGAGCATAGATCATTGTCTGTCGTATTCCCCATGCAGTACATTTAAGTCAGCGATCAACTGATGCAAAATATCCATAAATGATGTAATGTACAAACAACACCTGCACAAGAGCTTCCTCCACCTGCTGTGTCCTTAATTTCAACTTGTTTGCAAACTTCCACTTAACTCACAGTTCACTAGAATCTGTTTCTCAAAATATCTCAGGCAAAAAAAAATAGGTCATGCAGTTGAGTCTTGATGCTTTTTATACATAAACAACAGCTCTTTTAAAAAGTTTCTCCATAAGATTTGAGAGTTGACACATCGGGTGCTCCTTATTAGTGTTATGCCAAAATGTCTTTTGACTAAAGCACAATTTGACATTTGAAACTCTGTGCTTTCACTTGACCATTTCCATTAGTTATGATTGTTTTGTAAGTTCAGAAAATTACTGTAATGCAGCCTTTAAAACCAGGGGAAGACAAAACTTTTGATATATGATATCCAAAATCTAAAATGATATCTAGTCTCATATCATGATATCGATACGATATTAATATATTGCCCAGCTTCATGTCAACATTCATGACTCCATCAATGGCAGTTCACACATATTTGACACATAGAATTGCTTTATATCCAACATAAAGCCTTTAAATCTATAGAAATAAAATAAAATGAATGAAACAAGCTGTTGATGCGTGAATCTACAGCTAGGGAATGTTGATGTCGACACTCACAGTTCCTCATTATTGAGGACGGTGAGCAGCTCTTGTACCAGTCCATCGCAGGACAGCGACTGGTCGTTGACAACGCTGGTGAAGTGGCGCTTGCCTTGCAGCAGTTTCTTCCACGGCGTGTCCAGCAGCGAATTACTCAAGCCATAGATTCCTGCTGAGGGGCATATGAAGAACACAGACAAACATATACACTAGTAAGCTCTGTTAGTGACCTTGGGGCACATCCTCCGATAATTGGAGAGCAATATCAACATGGAAAGGTCAAGCTAACATGAATGGGCCAGGGGCCGAGAGTAAAGGTGTGTGACGTAAAAGGAACGGTTTCTACAGCAACCATATTAAAAACACAGACCTGATTTTAGATGGATGGGTTCAGGGCTGCCTCTGTTTCCATAGTAACACACAATGTCTTGTTTGGCTCTACATGGGACACAGTGAGATGGAAAATTACAGATTGCATTTAGTGATGATTAAACTTGTTTATATCTAATTATGAAGGCTGTGTCAAGAGTCACAATGCTTCTATGCTCTTTAAATAATCATAAACAGAGCAAAGATGGTGTTCAAAGAAGCACTCCTGAGGGAATCCTGTAAAATGAGGGCTCGGGGTGAAAGAGAATATCAACAGTGCACCATACAGTACTCTTTAATGATTGATTTTCTTCACAGTCCTGGAAAATAGGAATTAAGAAGCCTGTTTCATTTGTAGAGGCAATTCAAATGGGAAAATACCTAACACCACAGTTAATTGCTGCATTTAAATCTATCCTCAAGGAACTACTGGGTAAAATAAATGCTTCAAAATACAAATTAGTGCTGCAAACACCTCTGACTACCACAAAACCATTTAGTTACGGTGTTAGATCTTTTCGCAAAGTCCTCAGTTAGAGGGAATTTATTCAGTCTGAAAAATCTGTCTGACATCAAGGGCATCTGTGACAGCTTTGGTACAGGAGAGTGAATAATAAATTATGACCAAATCCTTTGAACCAGCAGGGGAATGGATTTTTTTGATGTCAATTTTATGACAGCCATACCAGTGGCATCAGTCAATCTGAAATGTGGCGCAACACTGCTTCAACATCTAACTTGGAAGATTTCCCAGTCAAGAGCTGGCAAGACAGGCACAGAATAAGCCGCTGGGCTCACAGCTCTGCCACGAACTTTATTGAATAGTTTTAAAAGCCACAACACAAATCGGCCTTTGGTCTATACCATATATCACCACGAGCAGAAAAGGTTTAAACCCATTAACAGTGAGTTTATATGTCATGTTTAGAGCAGATACAATAAGTCTATTAACTGATTGGTTGATTGACAGAAAATTAAGTGACCACTTCCTTTATAGTTGATAAAACATTTAATTCAATTTTCAAGCAAAAAGGCCAAACATTTGATTGTTCCAGCTTCTCAAATGCAATCTTGGAACTCCTTCGGCCATCGTCTAATGAGAATAAACCCTCTGGGAATAACAGCCAATGCCTCAAGAGATCTAGTGTAGCCAGCGGATATTCGGGCCAAGATTTTCTCTTCAGTGTGCTGGTCATTTCAGCTAATTTCTATGAGCAGATATCAGCTTATGAATGCAGATAAATAAAAGCAAAAAAAGGCAAAATTGTCATCAGATGACAGCCGCTGGTTTCCAAGATTGCATTTCGACCAAGTTGATTTGCATCTTCACGTGAACCGTTTCCCTACCGCTCACATGTGATCGCTCAGTACTACTCGGACCAAATCAGAATGCTTCTGAAACCAAAATCTTGCATACATATGCAGAATCTGTTTATAGTGGTTATTGTATAGGCCATGTTTCTACCATGGTGATTTTACACTCTAAATAAACTGAAACTGAAACTATTAAAAATGAGAAGAGTTGCAGCTTTTACCTGTTTTACATTACAGAAATTTGAATATCTTTGGGTTTTGAAACTGTTGATCTGACAATAAAAGCAATTTCAAGATGTCACATTGAACTATGGGAAATTAAGATGGGCATTTTTTAAAACAATTCTCTCATGTTTTATAGACCAAACAATTAATCACTTAATTGACAGGATATTCACTAGATTAATCAGTAAAGAAAATAATCCTTAATTGCAGCCCTATTTATGTTTAAGCCAACATTTGAACAAATCTTTGAGAAAACTGCTTCAATCCAAATTAATAGATAAATAAATAAATAAAAACTTCACCCACAAGGTGGCTATGGGGTTTCAAGAGGCTTGTGGAGAAATATTTCTTTGGTTTGCTTTTGTTTTATGCAAAGAAAAATGCTGCACTAAGATTTTAGTATATTTTGTTTATTTGCTTCTCAAAGTTAGACCATCCTAAGGCTTGATACGATGAAATGCTTCTTGTTTTCCTCAGCCAAATGTAACGGAAGCAGTGAAAATCATTATCTATAAAGGTTATCCATTAGTCAGTTTATCACAATTAAGTACACAAAAAACTACCAAAGACTGAGGGAATAACACGATGACAGATGCTGACATGAGCAAACCTCAAACAAACACTCACTTTCATTCCCTGCAAACGATTTGTGATAAACTTGCTTGTCTACGAACAGTTGCCCCTGTGCAGAGGTCATCCTTTACTGTTTGCACAAGCACTCCTCTGCCTTGTGTAAATTTCCCGGAGCAGAGCATTTTCTAAAGGGAGGACAATATGTGTCCGAGCAGCTGTGAGAGAATCCTCAAAGCGGCAGGCTGGAGTTACACTATCTCTCTGACAACAACAAACCAAAGACCTTAATACTGTTTCCAACTTGTACCCAAACCCAGTTGAACAGTCTGAATAAACAACTACTTTTTCCTGTGTTCCTATGGTTACTATGAACACAGCAACACTGTCCAATGTTGACTTGGGTGATAGCAGTCAACCCTCATACATGCGTGTACACAGTAGCTGCTCAGTGGGAAACAGATGGCACTGTAATGTGAAGGGAAGCCGAAGAATCCGTAGAGCTTTTACCTGTTGTCAGTTCTGCTGTGGGCAAACAATATCTGAAATACTATTTTTAGCTTTGCACTGAACTCAACAATACCTCAATGGCCCGGTATTTATGTATACACTTTGCCTTTGATATGCATCAAATTGACCATGGTGGTAGCAGGTGGTGGATTTGCAGAGAGACAGCTCTATTTCTGCTATTTGAAACTGGCTGGAATATTGAAAGTCCCATCAGGTGTGCCGTGGGTTGATTTGGGCTGAGATGAGGGAACAGCAGGAGGTCAAGGCCACTGGGCAGAGAGAGAACGAGGAGGGAAGAGTCGAAAACAGGCTTTTTTCAGATCTCAGTAAGAGAGGTAATCAGTATGCTGGCTGGGAGACGATCTAATGAAGAGTCCTCTATGCTGAAGCTGCAGAGCAGTTTCCCCATCGCCAGCTGTGGTGTAGTTGCCTGGAGATGCTTGGATGAGCTTTCGACATTATCAGTTCAGAATGTAGATGGGCATGTTGGTGGGGGCTCCTGGGTAACGACAGCATGTACTGTTGTACTGTTGTTTACAGCCTGTCACTTTAAGCCCCCTTGCTGAAAAGCCCATTCTGCTCTTACTGGTCAGCGTTTACAGGCCTTCCATATCTCGGTGCCTCTGCACCGACATCACAGCCGGGGAATAACTGTGACGGAGTATAGTCATACTTTATGCCATGAAAAATTACCAATAAAATGTTCTAAGCACAACTGGACATGTTCAAGCAGGAACATGGTTCAAAATCAAGGAGAAATTTACAACATTGGCAAACAAGATTACTGGTTTTCCTGAAGTTAGCATGTAGCTACATGTAGCAGTATAAACACTCACAATAACCATATAAAGAAATTCGTCACAATCTCAAGTCATCTTGTCTGAAAGGTAGCAAAAACATTGGGAACAGAGTTCTTAAAATGGTCTGAAGCCTGAGGTTATTGCTCACAAGGATTATTTTCACATACGTTTATGTAATCATTTGATACTCTGGCCATGTTTAAGACAAACATCTGACATTTTATCATTACAAATCTATCTATCTATCTATGGAAAGGAGGCAAAAACTTGATTTGTTTGGTGTTTGCTCATTTTGAATCATCAAAATGAATCATTTTTAGCTATGGTAGTGTCATGGCTCCATGGATGGCGATGTTAGTCTGTCAGTTAGTCTACCGGTTTGAACCAAGTGAAATATCTCAACAACTATTAGATAGAGTACCATAAAATTTGGTTCAGATATCCATAGTGCCCAGAGGATGAATTCCAATGACTTTTGGGAAATTCCTGAATTTTTCTTTAGCACCATTACAAGGTTGATATTTGTGGTCACAAGTCAAATGGTTAAATAACTATTGGACAAACTACCATGAAATGTGGTCCTGATAGCTGTTGACCTGTGTGTATTTTTTAACAGTTATATTTATGACATTTCTGGCTCTGTTCATTTGCTTTTTGCACCGTATTTTTTAACATTATTTTTTATATATATTTTCGTTTGGTTCGCACTCTAAACATGTGCACTCTTTGCCACTTTGCACTGTAACTGCTGCACAACAATTTCCCGCAGGATGAGTTTTAAAGTTTTACCTTATCTACATTCACACCCTCCTCAGAATGAACTGTAATAACCTTGGTCTTCCAGTTACTTTTTATCTGCTCCATCATCAGATCAAAATTACACACTGTCCAATACATTGGTTTATAACTAAAATTTTCAAAACTTCCCAACAGCCTCAGCTGTACTTTGTGTTAGTGCTGTTTAGAAAATGTTACTGTGCTAACAAAGATGGCGAACATGGTAAACATTATTCCTGCTAAACATCAGCATGCTAACATTGTCACCGTCAGTCTTGTTGTGTTGAGATACATAGTAAAAATGAAAAACCAGATATCATTCTTATGCATAATACTGGCATATCCATGTGGTAACCCATTTTAGTATCAGCTACTGTATGTGACCTCAAGGTAACGGCTGACTCGATAAATAGAATAACATGATGCCCTTATAACACTGGTAACAAAATCTAATCACATCTGACCTAGAAATGAAAATTAGCCTACATGGGTTCAGACAGACTTCCACAGGATGAAAAAATGCATTAAAATGTAGTGGGATTCAGATCTCCTCATAATGTAAAATATGACCCCTTACTAACAGTCTTAAATCCAACATCAACATTATTTTGGTTTTTGTGGCAGTTACTGAACATCTGGATTCACTTAAAGAACAATGTAGGCTATATGAGCTATTTACTGTGAGCATCTACTGCTAATTCTATTCAGCACAAAACCATGATCTCTTCTGCTCAAAGGGAATGTGATTTTGCAATACGTAATCTAAGTAGCGCTTGGAAAAACAAATATTCATAGTTGCTCCTCTTTAAAATGTTGAGAGTTCATCCACCCCTGATACTCTGGAATCTGATGCTCTGCTGTTTGTCTTTTTCAGCTAAAACAAGTTCCTGCCAAGAATTACAACACATGGTTTGAGGCCATAACATTGAGCCACTTTCTAAAGTTGTTTTAATAAAGCAGCCTCACTCTGCCTGACTGAAAGTGCATTAAGCGAGGCATTTCGTTGCAGGCAAACATCAGAAGATGTATTCATTAAAATGGATCATCTCTGGGCATTGACTTTAAAGTGAGAGTGACATGAAGTGGGATCAAAAAGGAAAGCTATAGAAAAGTCAGATGGAATGTTGGATATGGAGCCTTGAGAGCATTAAGTAGAGAATATCTGAGATGAAAATTTAAATATATATGGTGTTAGCTCGACAGAGTGAACGCTCTGTATGATGTTCTGGGAATGGACTGCTGCCACTGACTAAATCACTCGCATGTACAAGTCAACGTAACATGATCAGAGCATTAATCAAGGCTGTATTGGTTTAACAAGCATCGCAATTAAAAAGGGGCAATACATAAGTCATGGTCAGACTGAAATATGTGAAAGCCTCTGGGTTGTGTATTTAGTGTGTACACTCATTCTCCTCACTGCATCTCCATGCGGGTGATCACACACTCTCTAAAACTGAGTGAAGGCAGACAATGCTTAAAAATGCTGGGCACATCGTGTCCCCCACTGCCACCCCATCATAAATCATGTTGCTGGTTACAGATGAATGAGAAATCCTCTAATTGTAATACAGTGCTACTCTCTATCCACCAGATGTAGTTATTGATTCGGAAAGAAACTAGACGCCGTATTTCCTCTGAGCTGCTGGGCACACTACAGTGAAAAACAAATAGGCTGGTAATGACTGTGTTTATTAAAAAGATGTAGGCTCCCTTTCTGTCACTGTGTGTCATCTCAATCTGCAGTGAACGTAGCTCCCATCAGATAGGCATTTGAGGAGAGGAACGTTCACTGTACTTCCACAACACGAGGCTCTGTTGAGTGATTTCAGCCCCAGATGACAGCCCAGTTAGAGAGGAAGATATAAGGCATTATTACAATGCAAATACACGGTGTGCTTCGCTTTGCTGGCGTCTCACTAGCGTGGGGTGGCACCATATTCTTTCAATTAAGAGGAATGCCACTGGGGCAGCACAGGCACAACTACAGCTCCTGGTCTTAACAAGGACATTTGCATATCTTGATGGCTACAGCCGATCAAAGAAACAAAAGCCAAGCCGTCTAGCTGCTGTTTAGTCTTATTTGAAAAGAGAAACAAAGGGGGTTTGGAAATGCTGAAACAATACTGATATTCAAGGACTGAGGCTGCAAAAAGCTGATAATCTTCATACTACATCACTTCATACTACAAAGGGGGTCAAAGGTTATATTTAAAAAAGAAAAAGAAAAAGAAAGATCCATTCTCAATAGTATATCCACTGTGTCGTATTCCCCCACAGTGTGGAAGCTGGTACCGGGTGCTACCACATAAGAGTATAGAGCCGTGTTAGTGGCTCTGTTCTGCTCTTATATGCATTAACAGTAGTTAGTCCTTAACCTTAAACCACTTATTCATGTCTGTCTTGCTTGTTCAAGTATGTACGATAAGAAGTTAAAGGAATAACTCACCCACAATACAATCATTTCTATATCAATTACTCACCCCCTTTGTGGTGGTAGAATGATATGAATAAATGGTTTCATGCACAAACGTGTGCCTGGCAAGCCTGTGTGTTTGAACTTTGTTCAATGGAACGAACGAGCAGTGTACAAACACACATGCTTGCGCAAGTGCTGTACTTGTATGTGGAAGCATTTTAAGTAGGAAATGCATGTGTTCAGGAAGTATTGAGTATACGACTGGATACATGAGACTTGGATTACACTGCACGAGTTGTGTGAGAGTTTTGATACGGGTTTGCTGTTGTTAAACGTGGCCCAATTTAACTTCACTTCATTAAGAATTTTCTCCATTTCCGGATTGGTCATTCATTGTAGCGGTATGTTTCTTCACGATTTCAATGGAAAGGCCCTGACACACCAAGCAGACAGTCAGCTGTTGATCAATGTTGGGCCATCGGTGAGTGTCTATCGCCCTAGCGGTGTGGCCCGCAAACTTGGCCCCCGATGGCCACTGTCAGTTTTTTGTTCAGCGGATTCAGAGTGTTAAACTGGGGTCTGAGATGAGGTGAAAGACATCACTTTGACTGGCAGATCAGCTCAGTGCACGACAAGAGAAATGGAAATGAGGAAAGTAAACAAACAGGGAAAGTCAAGAGGGAGTCAGGTTGAAACAAACTTGTTATATAAGGTAAGATAAGGTAAGATTGTTTTTCTTTAGCCAGTGAGCTCTATAGCAGAAATGTTTTGCGGTTGTTTTTGTTATTGTTCACTGGCGCACAGTAAATATGCTCTGTTCTTTCAACACTGGATTGTGTTGTTAACGTGCTAACTGGCTAACTAGCGCCATGATGGCTTTCCGGTTTCCCTTTTTGAATGAAGAATACAGACTACTGCTGTCTGCTGGTATGCAGAGGTATTTCCTCTCACACAGGTGCAGAACATACATGCTGGTTGGCCGTCAGTTGGAGTCTTTGCGGTGTGTTCATGAGCAACTTTTCGGCCAAGATACGGGTGACCTGAGGCGACGCAACACTCAGCTTTCATTGCCACTATTTCTTTGACATCGGTTTGGAGTGTCTGGGCCTCAACATGTGGTGAGTAATTGATATACAAATCATCATTTTGTGAGTGAAGTATTCCTTTTAACAGGGTGACATTAGAATGAAATAACAGTCTGATCTTACATTTTCACACCATACATATAGTAATAGGGCGAATTAGCTTTACACTGCAATACAAAGACAATCCTTATTCTTTATTTTCATTTCTTCAGCTCGGATTAACAAGTGAGGATTCTGACTTTTTGCCTGCTTTAGCTTTAAATTCTATCATGTATGTAGCCAACTAGTCCACATCTAAGATCTTTTTTACAAGTGTCAAGTCAACAAGTCAGCTGGAAACATTAAAAGTCAGTAAGAGACAAAGATTTCAAACAACGCATTAGCTCATCTTGTTATATAGCTACGGCTAATAAAATCTGCCAGTAGCAATTTCAGCAGCAAAGTCACTGGCTAGAAATGAGAAGGTCACCTCTGTCTATAACAAAGTGCCCATTGTTTCAATAAACCGCATCATATCCATCATACTGGAAGTAGGCAGCGGTGATTAGTGTGATATCACAGTTATTAAAAATGATACTGTGAGTCTAATACAGCAGGGAAAAAATGTATCTCTAACCTAAAACCAATGCTAAGAAAAGTGGGGGAAGGGCAAGAAAATCTGTCTTGAGAGGAGATCCTCCTTGAGGCCATGTTACCAGGATACATGGATCATGACACCAAACTCCACTGTGGAAACCCTTTTTTTTTTCTCCCCTGCCGGGGATACAATTTGATAGGGATGTGTATTGGAGCTGAACCTCCAACCTCTCGCTGGCAGAAACTAAGACCTGTTTCCATGCCAATTGTCTACAGGGGCTTCCACCATGACAAATATCTCGGTGTGCAATAATCCTACTTTGACTTTCCTCCCATTACCAGATCACGAAATTCAGTCAAGTCAGGCTGGTGAAGGAGGCGAGGATAGAAAAAAAAAGAAGAAAAAAAAAACCCTCATTATTTTTAATGCTGTCTAGATTTTCTTTGTCTGAAACCCTGAAATAAGAACAGGTGTTCCTTTAAAATTTTAATGCTGGCTCTTTCACAGCTCAGCAACTGAGATTTCTTTTCAGTTCTGCCTGCTTTGCACTCCAGAGATGAAGACGCTGCCTTTGCGGTTTCATTCCAAGGTAAGGCAGCAGAGTTACAGCCCATTCTCAACAAGTTTCTAAAAAATCTTTGAGTCAGAATCCTTTAGTGCGCAAGAATTTGCTGATGTCACTTCATGACACCCACACAGTGCAATAAAGAGATTGTCTTAACATCCGCCAGCCTTCGGTGGCCATATTATGTATTTTTCCTAACTCTGGAATAAATTTCAACTTGTAAAATGTATCATGTTATGAATGTGGCTGCCTACTGACAGACAAATGTGTCGTTTTTGCAACCAAATCGCACTGTAAAGATTCTCATGATGTTAACACATCTTTGACTTTATCTTTTTGTACTTTATCAGTTGATGGAACACACTCTCGGATGGATTTCACCACAACATTCACTCACTTGAACTCGGCTGTGATGAGGTTGAAGCCGTTGTAAAGGTGGCTTTCTGCCGACACCTTCTTTAGATAAGAGTAGCTGTCCACATCCTTGTCCATAAGGTAGTTAGACACTAGAAATCCTGCAGAGCAGCAGAGAGAAAGGAATGCCTCTAAATTATGCACTCAATAAACCCAGACTAGTTGTTAATAATAAATACATATAAAATATATAAATATAAAAAATAAAGAGACAGTTATGTGAAACCCAAATGATTTTGCAAGACATTTTAAAATGTAGCCGGAAATGCAATGCTGTGCTTTAAATGGTGGACAACAATTAAATATACAGTACCAAAAATGTACTAAAAAATGCATGAGAAGACTACTAGGCACAGTTAAGATACCTACTAAATCTGAGGTGTAAGCAACATGCAAGATACTTCACATGAGACAGTGCAGACTATGGATAAATATTATCAGTGAATATATCTGTGACTTTTTCAAGGTCTGGTTCACCTCTTCCTTGTGCGTCAGGGTTGACACGCCCTTCCATGTAGTTGGTGATTGCACCCAGCTTGCCTCGCTTGCTGATCCCCAGCCATGATCCTCCTTCCCTACCACATTCCAAGTCCAGGCCTGGGTAACACAAAAGTAGTAGAATGTTTATTAAACAATGCTCAGGCTTCATCTGGAGGTAAAATACATTGTACGCTGCTAGTAGTCATTCAATGAGCCACTATAAGAATTTTAAATAACTTGGAATAGTAGCTATCACAACATTTCAAATAAAAAAAGATCCTTACTCCAGTGTGTGGGATTAATAACAGTGTTTTCTTCATACACTTGATTAATTGCCACAACATTCAATACCCTGGTAGTGTCCATTTAGTAAAGCCATTTTCCATGTTTCTACAGATTTTCCACACCCTATGTTCAACACAGGTAAGCCTCCCTTAAGACAAACAATAGATACCAAATTATTTACTGGCATACTTTTCATGATGTTTCCCTGAAAGAACTCCGCAACCTGGGGATTATGGGGAAATTGAGACAGCGCTCAATTGATAGACTTCGAAGTGGTTTACTCTACGAATTGCTAGCATTTTAAGTTAAAGCTGGAGTGCGGAACTTTTGCCTCCTCCCTCTGGCAGTCAGAATAATTACATCAACACTGTCGAAACACGCTTATACTGCCTGCAGGTTAGCTCACTGCATCTCCCCTGCCTCCTCGGGCACTCTCTGAAAGTCTTTTTTCGACTTCAGTCCTTCCTCTGAAAGCTGAGTTTCATTTTTATCCTCAGCATCCACTCCAGAAACATCCACTATCTGGAGAGAGAGAGAGGGGATGACAGGCAGCAACGGCCTGGAGTTGAAACAAAAACTGTGGCTGCTGAGGCAAGGACATGACCTTTGTACACTAGTGGGCGCCACCAGAAACTTTTCTTAAACGTGTCTTGGGATTTTCCCCCATAGCGTCCGCCATACTGCCAGCTCCCCCTTATTTTCAAAAATCTTTCAATCAAACTGTCAACATACATAGTAGGCCTGTCAAAAGATAACATCAGAAACACACACACCTATATACAGTGGGGAGAACAAGTATTTGATACACTGCCGATTTTACAGGTTTTCCCACTTACAAAGCATGTAGAGGTCTGTAATTTTTATCATAGGTACACTTCAACTGTGAGAGACGGAATCTAAAACAAAAATCCAGAAAATCACATTGTATGATTTTTAAGTAATTAATTTGCATTTTATTGCATGACATAAGTATTTGATACATCAGAAAAACAGAACTTAATATTTGGTAAAGAAACCTTTGTTTGCAATTACAGAGATCAGACGTTTCCTGTAGTTCTTGACCAGGTTTGCACACACTGCAGCAGGGATTTTGGCCCACTCCTCCATACAGATCTTCTCCAGATCCTTCAGGTTTCGGGGCTGTCGCTGGGCAACACAGACTTTCAGCTCCCTCCAAAGATTTTCTATTGGGTTCAGGTCTGGAGACTGGCTAGGCCACTCCAGGACCTTGAGATGCTTCTTACGGAGCCACTCCTCAGTTGCCCTGGCTGTGTGTTTCGGGTCGTTGTCACACCGGAAGACCCAGCCACGACCCAGCCACGACCCATCTTCAATGCTCATATTGAGGGAAGGAGGTTGTTGGCCAAGATCTCGCGATACATGGCCCCATCCATCCTCCCCTCAATACGGTGCAGTCGTCCTGTCCCCTTTGCAGAAAAGCATCCCCAAAGAATGATGTTTCCACCTCCATGCTTCACGGTTGGGATGGTGTTCTTGGGGTTGTACTCATCCTTCTTCTTCCTCCAAACACGGCGAGTGGAGTTTATACCAAAAAGCTCTATTTTGGTCTCATCAGACCACATGACCTTCTCCCATTCCTCCTCTGGATCATCCAGATGGTCATTGGCAAACTTCAGACGGGCCTGGACATGCGCTGGCTTGAGCAGGGGGGACCTTGCGTGCACTGCAGGATTTTAATCCATGACGGCGTAGTGTGTTACTAATGGTTTTCTTTGCGACTGTGGTCCCAGCTCTCTTCAGATCATTGACCAGGTCCTGCCGTGTAGTTCTGGGCTGATCCCTCACCTTCCTCATGATCATTGATGCCCCACGAGGTGAGATCTTGCATGGAGCCCCAGACCGAGGGAGATTGACCGTCATCCTGAACTTCTTCCATTTTCTAATAATTGCGCCAACAGTTGTTGCCTTCTCACCAAGCTGCTTGCCTATTGTTCTGTATCCCATCCCAGCCTTGTGCAGGTCTACAATTTTGTCCCTGATGTCCTTAGACAGCTCTCTGGTCTTGGCCATTGTGGAGAGGTTGGAGTCTGTTTGATTGAGTGTGTGGACAGGTGTCTTTTATACAGGTAACGAGTTCAAACAGGTGCAGTTAATACAGGTAATGAGTGGAGAACAGGAGGGCTTCTTAAAGAAAAACTAACAGGTCTGTGAGAGCCGGAATTCTTACTGGTTGGTAGGTGATCAAATACTTATGTCATGCAATAAAATGCAAATTAATTATTTAAAAATCATACAATGTGATTTTCTAGATTTTTGTTATAGATTCCATCTCTCACAGTTGAAGTGTACCTATGATAAAAATTACAGACCTCTACATGCTTTGTACGTGGGAAAACCTGCAAAATTGGCAGTGTATCAAATACTTGTTCTCCCCACTGTATATATGAAGCATTGAGAAAAAAACAAAGTAAAGGCAGTGCCAAACAAAAAACATAACAACAACAAACCTAACGTTAAAATACATAAATTATTCTCTCCCCTCTTTCGCTCTGGCTGGATGACATAAAATACATCACTTCCGGTGTGCCTGACTCCGAAACTCCAGTTTAATGAGCAATATAGAGAGCTTTCCCTGGCGGCAATAGGCTTAAAAAGAACTGTGTGACCTTGTCTGGCGCACTCTCAAGCTTTAAAAAAAAAAAAAAACACAGGCCGTCAGCTGAACATGCAAAAACGTGATATTTGTCAACAGGCAAGCATAGGAGTCAGAAAAATTGACAAAATTACAATTCATTTGGGTTTAAATTCAATGAAATTCTATAAAAGTTAGTACCAAATTACATAATTCTATGCAGAAACCTTCACAGAATCTAAATTATAAACATGTAAAAAAAAGCATTACTGAAGACAGATTTCACAGGATATCTCTTTCACCTTTTACAACATTTGTCTTACTACAATGGGGAATGCCCTTGGCAAGGCCAACTATCAATCTGCAAGCTTTGCAGCAAATGTCCTTCCTTTGAAAAGTAGTAAGAAAACATACTGAACTTGAAGCTGCATTAAGATACACCTGAAAAATACTCCATTGACTGTCATTGCTGTAATGGCAGGGATTAAATAAACTCAATCCATCAATACTCATGACATGGAATTGTTGGACTGCAAAGGCTAGGCACTTCCTAGTGATCAATAAAGACAGGTCCACTTACACTGACAGTGACCAGGAAAGCCACAGGGTCTAACTCCTCTGGGAGTGGATGGAAAGCTAGCCTGATCCCACTGGGAGCTATAGCTTACTTCCCTTTTCATCATGCTGTGTCTCCTTCAGGGCCTTGCCTCTGCACCCCTCCCCAGCCACGCAGATAAGGCAGAGCCATTTACTCCTGTCACATCGCATAAAAGCAGTGATCAATTAAGGGCCCACTACCGGAGTCCTGACCCCTCTATTAAAGAGGGGAGAAGGAGACTGATGAACAACGAGGCTATCTCTGCATTTCCTCCTTCAGCAGAAAAAAAAGGATGATTGATTTCCTCTGCTTGGCTATAATGTGTATTGGACATCAGTCAATTAAATATAGTTTACTGCATGTGGGGATATCCTGTGACGGAGTGGAGGAGAATTGGATTCTGAGGTGGAGGAGACAGATTTTTCTTTGATCACTGAAAGCCACCAAGCCTTGAATAAAACTGCAGTCAAACATGACTAAAAAGGCAACACCTGCTACATTTTCACTCTCCACAGACCCAAGAGAGATATGTTTAAAATTCTAGCACATACGCCATTTGTCTAGATTTACCATAGATTCTTCTTCATAAGTTAAATATATCATCTGCTGCCTGATTTGGTGTTGTTTGTTTGCAAATTTACATCATCTTGCCCAGGTCTCTTAGAAACTTGCCTGGTTAAATAAAGGTCAAACAGAAGCTAAGCCTGCACTTCTACACGACTACCTGGTCTAACTTGCTTTTTGTTTACTTATTCAGTGCTATTGGCCTACTACTTTTTAAAATGGAAATATGCATTTGCAGGTTGGTGGACAGACTTACCGCTGAGGATCTCACTGCTGGTCCCCCAGAAGTCTGCAGCTTTGGACGGCCTGTTGTAGACCTCATCTCTGTTTGCAGCCAAAATTAGCCTGAAGAGAAGGAGCCAGAGGGGTTTAGAGGCTGTTTTATTATTTTGTTCAACCAGTGAGCCATGTATTAAAGGTATTACAGAAGGCCACTGCTGGTCTCAACAGCAGATCCATCATTAACAGTTCATTATCCCATCTCATAAGCTAATGAGTTGGTACAGTTTGCCGCTGACTCAAGTTTCTAGGACATACTGTTCTGTATCAAGTTGAGTTTCTCCCTGGTTTCATAACAGCCTCAGATGTGTCCAGGAGTCTTCAAATACAGCAATATTACAAACTGATTGAGCAGGTTGCAGAGGATACAAAAGGTCAAGGTTACAAGGAGAAGGCGGTCCTTTGATGATGACCAAAGAAGAGAGGATCAAAAGGAAGATGACAGCTAAAGGACAAGCCAATATACCTGAAAAAGTTACAGCCAGCCAGTCTTTATAGAGAGGAAGTAAAGGGAGACAGATCCATGTTCAGTTTCTGCATGCTAGCTGTGCCAGGGTTTTGTAGCAGCTTGGTGCATTTTCTTTTTCTTTATAGTGTATTTTTCCTTAGAGCCTAGCAGCTGGCCTCTTTTTCTTTTGTTATGCAGAGTGTCAATATTTGGTTGTTTCAATTTTGTTCCATGATACTCTTTGGTAACTGGGGATAGCTACCGCGAAAAACACAAGTGCTATCCTCTTCCTGTTTTAGTTGTGCCTCCTTTGTGTTGTAAATGGCCCCTTCATTTTCCCAAGAGATCGCGCCCAGCGGCAGACAGAGTTGCATAGCGAAAGTGAAGGTTAAAGGGAACCAATCTACAACCCCAATTGTAAAAAGCTGGGGACACAAAAACAGAATGCAATGATATGCAATGTTTTTTTCAACCTATATTCATCTGAATACAGTTCAAAGATGTTTAATGTTCAAACTGATGAAGGCCTGTGACCTTTGATTCTTCAGGAGGCACTGCCTTTAAAACCAACATGATTATATGAAGGCTATTACTACATGGGCTCAGAAACACTTTGGAAAACTACCGCCGGTGAACACAGTTCATTGCTGCACCTAAAAAAATCTAAGTTAAGACTCTGCATGCAAATTGAAGAACCATATATCAACAACATAGAGAAACGCTGCAGACTTCTCTGGGCCGGAGCTAATCTGAGACGGACTGACACTGTGGTCAGATGAATCCACATTTCAAACTGTTTTTGGAAATCATGGACGTTGTGTTCTCCAGGTTAAAGAGGAAATAGACCATCCAGATTGTTACCAGCACAAAGTTCTAAAGCCATCATCTGTGATGGTATGGGGTTGTGTCAGTGCCCATGGCATCATGGGTGACTTAAGCCCCGTTTCCATCAAACACTTTCGGTATAGTACTTTTGGAACCAAAAGTAACCATTCCGACATGGTACTTAGACCATGTATTACCTAGTATTACCTAGACAGTTCCCAAACACTTGCGGAGTCTCTTTTTTTTTCTTTAAGTGCGTTGCAGGCATCAAATTCCAAATGACTGTATTATTACAAAAAACAATAAAATCATCATCATTTCGTTTATCATTTAGAACATTAAATATTTTGTCTTTGTACTGTATTCAATTAGATATAGATAAAAAGGATTTTTAAATTATTGCATTCTGTATTTATTTACGCTTTTATTTAAGCAGATGGTGCCATTATTCTACAGCCATTACACTGTGCAATCAACATTGACTTCCAAATGACAAGTAAAAGCGAAAATCTTGTCTGTGCCACTTTAACCTGGCGAATCAGTCAAGAAACACTGAAATAAACCCCAAAAACTTTGTTTCAAATTTCAGTTGACAGAACTTTCTAAAGACACCAAAAATATTCAGGGGAATATGTATGAAATGATGCACAAGGCATGTAGAATATTTCCATTTGCAGCCAAAAAAAATTGATTAAGATTCTTGGGTCTGAATATTTCACTCAGTGTAAACACCATATAGCTTCAGTGGAGCGTGCACAAGCCAATACAGCATATACAGTCGATGACACTGTCAGTCAGAGTGAAATAAGATTATATTTCTTACCTTAAAGCCACTTAGGGGTTAAACCATTTTAAATAAAAAGAAATATATCTAGATAAACCATGCCATCTTCATCTCAATTTGCAAAGCTGCCTGCCTCGTATCAGTAACCTTTCCAGGTGTTTTATCTGTTTTTACTGCCTAAGCACGGCTGAAACAAACACTTATTGCTACAAACAGGAATGAACAGCATGAACGGGCTGTGTATAATGAAGACTGTATTCTGATTTAAAATATATCACCTTGAATGTGACTCTGCGGTCTGACACAGGCAGCCTGTCAGTTAAGCGCTGCGCTACACTTTGACCTGCATTATTATTCAGGGTCTCAGTGAGTAATGATGCCATTATGTTCATGGCCTTTAACAACATCAGACTGCGTTGTGACCTGTATCTAATGCAACACCAGCCATTACTTTCAACATGCCTTAACTAGCAGGTCACTACTGTCAATTGGGCAGCAAAGGACTGTGACATCACTTAGTGGCTATACGTCCTCATCCAGCTTCTCTTACTGCTCATGTAACACATATGCACAAAACTCTGTATTCAGCTCATCTCACAAATTCAGCAGTTATGAAACACAGGAAACAATTATTCCTTTGCTCAGAGGAAAAGATGACCTTTGCTACTGCACTGTGCAACTCTTTCAACATGAATCAGCCTTTTAGCAGAGACTCATAGACTTATGTATTTTATGGAGTGTAAACATGCAAAGAACAAACAAATGCAGAGCTTTGTCAACATTACTAATTGTTATGAATTCATAGAATTTGATTTAAACAGAGAGTTGAGATATGGATTTAAACACTGCAGAGAGGCCCTTAAAAGAAAGGCCAGAGAAATTTATTGACCTCTATAATAGCTGTATGCTCCTCCTGACCTTGGCAATGGTACCCCTATTAATCTTGGGTGGGAGCTTGGATCCTGTCGAGAGCAAACAGATAAACCAAACTGACCTAATAGGGGTCGACCTCTGTGCATCAAGGGCTAATTATAGCCTGTTCCCATGGCACTATGTGAGCCACCACTGCTCCGCAAAACAAAGCTAACACTAATGATGCTACACCAGAGAGAGCATCTGCCATCAGATCCGGAGGGGAAAATCACATGCGAGCAGCTCTGATCACAGTAACAGACAGCTGCATCATGTAGGAGGGACGGTGAGAAGCAGAGAAGAATCAAAGCTCTTCATAAATACTGAACTATGGTTCATTTTATATTCAGTAAACACGGTGGTCTGTGGACTTGGCCGCAGCTACTTTAGGTTTACTCTGGAATTATATATTCATAATTCCCATAGGATCATTCTGTATAGTTTTTCAAGCCCTTGACCTTTCATCTTGCATTAAGGTCAACTTTAATTTCTACTTGATGAACTATTTGCTTAGATACAAGGTATTTTGAAAAAGTGCTGGAATTCTATGAAATTTGATGTATATATTCATTGTGCCCAGAGAAAACTGTAAACTTCTGGAATTATTTAGAAATAGAAATGAAATTATGCAATACACTTAATAGATTTAAAAAGATATTTAAAAATAATATTATTAGTAAATACAAAACAGAATTATGAACACTATTCATATTCACACCACTCACCAACTGCATTGGGACCTTTTGTGTACACAATATACACATTTTGTTTCGTTTCTTTCATTCTTTTTATCTTTTTTCAAAGGGAGCTGACAAAACCTTATTAATGTAAGAAGGGTAGGCAAAATAAGCTAAGGCTTCAGCCGATACCTTTTTGGTCAGTGCATTTGTAGATATTTATGTTTTGGTTTTCAGTACTGAAAGGAAATTAACTATTGTTTTATTCAATGTATAAATTTTGTGTATGAGTTATTGTTTGTGTACTCAAACTCTACAAGTTGTAAATGACCGAAATAAATTCACTAATTCAATTTTAACTGTGACTTTTGCTCAAGAGCAACCATTGGTAGATGTTGAGATCTAACTTAAGTCTGCTGGTGGTGCTACAAGAAAGGTCAGGAAGTGACTAAAGTCATTAAGATTCATCCTCTAAGAACCCTGAATATCTGTACCACATTCCATGGCAATTCACCTGGTGGTAGTCAGGGCAGGTCAGTGCAAAAAAAAAGAAAAAAAAAAAGACAACCTCATGGTGGCACTAGAGGAAAGGTCGTGGGATCAGAAAAGTCAGTAATTCATTCTCTGGGGAACATGAATGTCTGTACAAAATCTGATGGCAATCCATCCAGCAGCTGCTGGGTTATTTCAGTCTGGACTTAATATAAAAAATGTAATGTAAAATTGAACTGAAATTATTATTTGTACATCCCTTTGAGGGATGCTTTGTGATACTCTGACCACTGACCAACTGACACACCAACATCCTTATAGCCACACGTGGCTAAAAATTAAAATCTGACTGGCAGGCTGCCATGATATATATCATGAGCATATTCATGGTCCAAAGAGGATCAGCTTCACAGGCTTTGGACACTCCATGAGCTTTCCTCTGAAGCCAGCATTGGGTCAAAATGTCAACTTGCTTACAGCACATCAGAATTTAATTGGCAGATTGCCACAAGTAACATCATACTCCTGAGGAGATAATCTATTTTTGCTGTTTGATTAGTCAATCACTTTCATCTTTTTGGGTGCAATGAACACAGTAGCCTCTAGGGACTGCGAGTGAAGTTGCTGATATTTAAATGGCATTGACTAGCCTGAGGGAAGAGCTATAATTACAGGTCAAAATCACTTTACTGTCCTGGTTGGTTGATTGCAGCTCTGCTTTCATTCTGAGCAGCTAACAAAGTTGAAACACAAACAGTGCAGGCTAGAAATCGAGTTTCGAAATTTAGAAATCTCAGCATGTGGGTAATCATTGAGTCATTTGTGCTGAACTTGAACCCATTTAACCCCCGTTGGTATACTCCTGTCATTTTGTGCTGTGAGAGTGTTATAATTATTCCTAATGAAACTTTAATCTTGCCTTGAACCCAATTTAGTCTAAGTATGCTGAACATTCCTTTTGATTTACACATCACTGCAGCAAATGAAACCTACTTCTGCAACTAGTGGTCTATATATAGCACTGATGTAACCACATTAGGACACAGTACGTTTCACCTTTCCCCAGGTTGAGGTCTGAGTCAGTACTCATACCACACCTCTGCTGTGATCTCCTTAGGCGGGGTCAGACTCCCAGAGGGAAGGACAGAGATGGACTATGGCCAGGTAGAGAGTTCACTCTCAAGCTCAGGGGGATTATAATGCGCTGGACTCCACATCACCCTGTAACTCACATTGACTGCGCACAGTGCGCTAGTCTGTGCTGCCCACTGAAAAAAGTTAGCATTTACTGCTAAGTGGGGAGCATGGAGGGTGGACAAAGATTCACTCAGTGCTTTAAAAATAGCTGCAGTTTTCATTGTTGATTATTTTCTTGATTAATCGATTAGTTATTTGGTCCATAATATGTCAGAAAATGGGGAAAAATGTCCGTAAAAATATTGGTGTTTCCCAAAGCCCAAGATGATGTCCTCAAATCATGTCTTGTTTTGTTCACAACCCAAAGATGTTTAATGTACTGTCATAAAGAAGTAAAGAAACTAGAAACTATTCTCATTTTAGATGCTCAGACAATTCTGACTATTTTTTTTCCCTAAACTAATTATTAAAATTGATTTATCGATTTTCAAATTAGTTGGTGATAAATTTAGTATCTGACAGCTAATCCTGTAATTGTTGCATTTTACCTTAAAATGACAGATCTGAGCAAAATAGCATGTGATATATTTTCGATAGCAAGTAAGTGTAGAATATGTCGTTGTCAATATGTCAAAGACTGACATCTCCAAAATCAGATGTCCCTTGGCTACACATATCTAAAACAAAATAGATGATAAAACAGAAAGGAGAATTTCTTTCCCTTAACTCCTTTGTTACTATATTGCTGTTTATGTGTGTTTGCACCTCTGCTCCAATCTCCTAGTGGCACACTAGACAATCCTTGAACAAGATGAAATAGGAAACATTGCAGCTGTGTCAAAGTATGACAGCAGTGATGTCAAGACTAGACACCTGAAAGGTTTTCCCACCTTATATTTATTTAAAGAAAACCCTATCTATATATTCTGTAGCTGCATGCTGCAACGTTTTATTAAAGCCATATGATGCAAATGGAGTGAAATGTTCGAAACCCAGCACTTAGGTTTTTCAAATAGCTGCATCCAAAAGATATGTCATACATAATTTTTACACACACCTCCCAAAAACAGTTTATTGCATATTTTCTTAAAAAAAGAAAGCCTCACAACATTGTTTACCAAGATTGATGTTTCCTGCAAGTCCTTTCTTTTAGAATTCTCCATCCTGTACTGCATGGCTGTATCAGTTTATTTGCTCACCTGTAGGCATTTTTGGACGCAGGGCGGGGGTCAAACTTGAAGAAAATTATACACATGGATGGATTGGGGGATTGATGACAAAGTTTCACTGAATCCACATCTGCCTTCAAATCTTAGTCATACCTGACAAAGAAAACAAAAAACAGAAACTAGTGAGCACATATATTTAGTGATGGTGTGTGAGAGCATGGGTGTGAGGGGGTGTGGTGGTTGTTGAAATAAGACATCTGTTGTGAAACAAGCGTTGTTGAACTCAGTTAGGTGTGTTGCAATTTTGCAATAACATACTGATTGAGATAACAGCAGCTTCTCAACTGTATGTGTTCAGACTTGTGAATGTTCTGTATCTTGACAATGCACTTATCAGAATACATATTTACTTAATACTGATTATTTCAATACTTACACAGTGTACGTGGCTGCAGGACAATGAAATGGACCATCCAGAGTGCATGCTGTGTGTACTCCTGTGAACACTACCCATGTTCAGAATAGAAAGTGTTAAACATAATATCACAAAGGTTGTTATCTTTATCAATCTCTTAACTGTAATGAGTGCAAAGGTAGCAATTAAGTAACAGAAGTTCAGAGGCTCATCCAGGACTCACAATGTCATTCAATGATGTTTAAGGTGGGGTATTATAATCACCTGCTACTACTGTACATAGCAAGCCGCTAGCCCATTCAACAATGTTAACGGTATAATAACACTGCGTTTAACCAGTGAGTAACACTGTGACAAGCTATTTATACTTTCTAGAGTCCTACTTCAATGAACTACCCAAATAGCATAGCCATTGTCTGTTATGTAGGTTATATGTTTGGTAACAAATAAGTCCTGCCTTGCAGACCAACCAGTGGTTGATAACATTGTAATGTATGGCTAACATTAGTTCCACCGTTACCAGCAAACTAGTTCCAGCACAACTTCATAGCCTCAGCAATAACTAGCTAACATTAGCATTTCTACAGTCAATAACGTAAAGATGAAAAACCAAGCAAATTTTCGCTACCTACCTAACCTTGGTTATGCACGACACATTAGACTTCAGGTAAGAGTTGCTAAGCTAAATGTTTACCCGTTGTCTTGTGTACAGTTTCCTGCTGTGTAGTATTTTGCTAGCTGTACTCACTGTCTCTTTACACTCGCTGTTGTCAACTAAAAGGAAATGTTCACATTGGGTAGCTTCCATTTGTATCTCAGGTCATCTCGTGAGCTTCTTCAGCGGGCGTAAGTATTTATTCTCTGCGTGTTTTTCAGTAACCCTCCCACCTCGGCACTACAAATGCATAAAACGAGTGCACTCCTAACGAGGCTCTGAAGTTCGCTGTGATTGGTCAGTTTACGAATAATCTACCAATCACAAGCTAACTGCAAACAGTAAAACTTACTTTTCCGGTGAGTTCAAAATAAAAGCTTTAGTATTATATACGTACTTTGGTCAACTCTGATACAGCTATGTTTGTCGTATTATTGGCATGTAACAGAAAATAAATAATCAGTTAATTCCGGGACACGGGATTAAAACTGGGCAATTTTTTTCATTTCACAGTTTGTTTGTTTTTCAAAATATTAATTTTGGGTGACATTTTAAAAACACTATTTAATAAATAAATGACTATTCTAATGCTTAACACACGGCATACTACTCGGAAGGATGCCCACTGTCTTAAATTTGCTATTTCTTCTGCACATACATACACTACTAGGCCTATATTGTAGTGTTTTACTCCGGTGTTTGAATGGCTTTGATAACTTTTACTTTGAAAAAATATTCACTAGATGCTTTCTCTGTATTTGTGCGAACTTGATAATACCACAGTGCTAGTAAATATAACAATAGAGAATCGAATCCACAGAAATAGGAGACCTAACAGATGCTAACATATGATGAAATAAAATAAAACTGATTCATATGAGTGACTATCTAACATTCTGTGTTTTTTGGCATTTAATGGGCGAGTTAACGGAATAATCTTTGTAGCAAGCTGTCGCACTGAATACTTAAATTAAATAAGAACAATTTAAAGTGATAACAAGAGTGAATTGCGCAATAATTCTGCTGATAAATCCTAACCAAAAAAAAAAAAAAAAAAAATCAACCACAAATTTCCTCCAATACTGCGTGAGTGATGATGGGGCGGAGACACTTGCTGTGACCGACAGCATCATCCCGCACTGTAGTGGATGAGAGGGATAGGATAGAGGCTGTCCTGCCTTTCACACAACACAACGTCGCAGTCACTAATTAGTAATAATTAACGATAGTCGCTTTGAGTACAAGAAGTAACTTTTACATCAGTTAGGATAGGCCTGCTGCGTTTTTTTATTTGTATGAGGCGCGTGACTGAGAGGACACGCGTGCAGCAACCTGACAACTAGGCTACAATTAGAGATTTGTAAGGTTGTAACAGTAGTGTGTCCCTGCAGCAGCCAAGTTGCATACAGATTAGATACAGCCGAGGCTCGGACTACTGCACATCACACCAGAGAGTCTCCTCGCGTTCAGGAACAAGGATGAACAGGAGAAACTGAGGTAATATCACTACGGCTTCTTGCTGTCTCGCTCAAATCCATGTGGTGATTATCTTGCAACGCCAAGTTTTAGCCTGTGCCATGCCATAACAACTCAGGAGGAGGGTGTGACAATAATATGACAACAATAATGAAACAACAATGTAAAGTGACATTCGGAAAGCTGGAAATAAGCCGTGGGTTTCCTTTCGGGTGAGTGAGCAGGTGCGCTGATGAGGCATATTGATTAGGTTACACGTACCCGGTGTGTTGGAAAAGATTTATCACGCTTTTGTTAAATAGTCGGTGTGTTAATGAAATACGGCGTTGGGAAATATATTTGATGAAGCTGAATAGCTTATTTTATCATTAACGTAATGTTTTTTGTGTATACGTGTGTTGTTGTGAGCTCTTATCGCCAGTGGATGCAGTCAAAGGCAGCGAGCGCGAGCTGCAACGAGATGTCAATCATCTCATCCTTACTCGTCCATTGTTTCGCCCCTCCTGTTTGTGAGTGAGTTACCATGGAGAGTCTTCCGGGTTTTCTCATCTAATTACCTTATTTGGAGATGGGCCGGCTGCTGGTGTCAGTGGCTGGACTGATGGTGTTGTTGGGTTAATGGTGCTGTGTTCATGTCCCATGTGAATAACCGCCAGAATGACTGAACGCTTCAAAACAACGACCTGAGCTCAGGCCATTAAGAAGCCTCAAATGAAGTTCTCAGTAGACTTTGATTGGGCCTGGTCAGCTCTTTCACACCCAGCTAGCACTAATGGCCTCAGGATGCTACAGCAATTAACTGTGGACATGTGCAGTTAATTTGCATTAACTTTTTCTTGAGTTTTTATGTCCACCATACAAAACTTTTGCAATACTGCACTCATACCCTGCTGTAGGAAGATTCTCAGCTCTCAGCTGGGTTTAATTTAGTGCTTGATGATGTGGCAAATATACTGAAGAATGGCACATACAGGGTAATTGACCAGCTATAGCATACAGCCTCAACATCGTCGCTTGAGTAATGTTGATTTAAATATATCAAGATACATTTTTAAAGGAGACTTGGCATGGTTTGCAGATTATTAACGAGCACATTGGTCCATGTATTAGTGAATATGGCAGGTTTGCACCCAGTTGCCATAATCTACTGTGTAGTGAAGATGGTGGACTTTAATTACAATTTTATAATGGTACTTCATCTCTTCTCTTATTCACATGCTGTGATAACCCTTTTGGCCTGTAGGGCCAATGTGGGACATAGACACACAATGGCAACCTTAGAATGATATTTTACATGAAATTAAATATACAAGGTGTGTTAGTTGTTAGTATAGCATAACTGTCTGTGTCTGTGGACAGTGTTGTGGAGTATGGAACAACAAGCTAAGCAAAACCAGAAAAAGGGTTGCAGGTGCAGGAAAAGAGACAGATCCACACTGATCACTTGTGAGCACTGAGGCCAGGTGCTCCAGATTTCTCTGGCCAACTCACTCAGGGACAGGGGCGTAACAGCAAATTTTGGGCCTTATGTATAAGCACTATCTGTGGGCCTCCTGTCCCTCCACTTTTGATCCAAGTAAATTTCCTTTCTTTCTTTCTTTCTTTCTTTCTTTCTTTCTTTCTTTCTTTCTTTCTTTCTTTCTTTCCTAAAAAAACCCTTATTTCCCTTTCTTAGGAACAGACATGACAGTGTAGGTTGGTGCTCCAACGTCATAATCAGTCACTCTAACTGTGCTTAGAGATGAATCCTAGTGCAGCAGCAGACTAAATCATTTTGAATCTTTACGTAGTGAGAGGGGACTCAGAGAGCTTCCACTATTTTTTTATACAAAGTTAAGCCTTTTAAGTGATTTATTCAGACAATTCTAATGTCAGTGATGGCACTGATTAGAAATAAAAAATTGCAAACAAAACCAAACTTTTAATTCCACGCTTTTCAAGGGCCCGCCTTCCATCCGGGCCTCTGTAATCAGTCCCACTTTGCCACAGCACTACAACACCCCTGCTCAAGGACATTCACAACATATATGTATATGTATGTGTGTGTGTATATACNAAATCATCGCTGCAAAACCTATTTTTGATCAGTTCTCTCTCAAAGATTTAAACATTTCTGGCAGAGTTTTGCACTCATCGCATGTGGACCTGAGATTTTAGGACAATTAGGTTCTTCAGATAATGTGTGCAACCCAATCACCACAATAAATGTAGGCATTGTACATTTTCTATAAACCACGGATATGTAAATTTTGTACCTTATTAGTGGATATATTGAAACTTTATATTTCTTTATGTTTCAACAACACTGTGGTTAACATGCAGTTATGTTTAGGCACAAAAAGACACTTGGTTATGGTTGGGAAAAGATCATGTTTGGCTTAGAATACCTTCTTTTGGTGGCATAATCACCACTGGAAATGACATACCAATGTCTTCCAGCTTTACGTGGCACAAGCACTTCTGAAAGTGCTGCTGATGTCTCAGTAAAAACTCTCTTTTGATGGCAAAATCACTGCTTGAAATGCTGCAGATTTCTTGCTGAAAACAGCTGCTTTTGGTGGCACAGTCGTATCTGGAAATGCCATCTGTGTCTGGCCAAAAAACACTCGCTTTTGTTGACAACAATCACCGCTGGAAGTGCTGCTTGTTGGCACAGTCGCTGCTAGAAATGCCGCAAGTTTTGTTGTTTGGTGGTCTGTAACAGTAGGCAGCTGTCTCACCTAGATGTCACGCCATCCTCCATCCCCTACCTCCTTATGACAAAGTCAGCTCATATACATGTAATCAGAGCTACATCACTTTAGAAATGTCGATATGATATGTATATACAAATGTAACTGTATCCATGGTTTGCAGAAATGTATAGTGTCAACAGTTTCTTCTGGCAATTGGGCTGTTGTCAGACAGAATGAGAATCACAGTGCAATAGTAATGTCACATTCCTTCCTTTTTTAAATTATTTAATTGCCCTGGATGGTTTTTAACCAATGCCAAATTACATCAGGAGCTTATAGAATGATTAGATGTTGTTCAATCATGCATGCTACAATGCAGTATATGTTACTGAACTCAGTGCGCAGTGTTGTAATCTACAGTGTCAGCATAGACCAGTACAATACAAATTCAGTCTGGGTTATTACAGATTGAATCCTTACCTGCAGCCATTTGCTAGGCCTAGGTGTGAATGAGTTCATATCAGTCATATTTGCAAAGGTCTCCTCAGATGCTTCTATGTCAGCACATCCTGATTCTCACAGAATACATTTTGGGCTCATTGGCAATCAGGAAGTAGCTCATTTGGAGCACAAAATATTTGCAACTCAAACACAGAGCAGTCTCTGGACAGGACCAGAATTTCCACACCACCTGTGACTGTGCTGAAAACCGAAAAATGCTCCGTAACCGGGGGAAAACAAGAAGACTTCCTGTGAATGCTAATGGTAAAAAATCCTATTTTATTTATTTTCTGGGAAAGTTATCACACACTTTCCTGTATGCTGACAAAACACAACAACTTTGTCTTGTTCTCTATTATATATTCTGTTTTTCCCGAGGCCAAAAAAAGCAAAGTTGTTAAAATTCACTACCATCATCACAAGTTAACAAGCCAAACATAGATGTATATGGTGGCAAGCAATGTTGCTATTATTGTAAATGGGTTTTTTTTT